CCCAAGGCATGTGCAAATTGAATTCACCCGAGGCCAGATATCTCGCCACAGGTAGTTTGGTCAAAGCCAACAACCCTTCAGTGATATCTTGCCCCTCGATTTCGACCTCTTTCCCATGGTCAGTCCAGCATTTAATCTCTACCAAGCGTGTTTTTTAAAGTGATGAATACCTTCCAGAAACGAAAAACCCACACCCATACGCCTGGCATCACTGCATCATCTGTGATATAACCTCGAGCACTCGGGTGAACAAGTGGTATAGTGTCTCAATCTGGTCATTCTGATTAATTACGCGAGGAACCACTCATGACATATCGGGTGAGAAAAGCCAAGGGGTAAGAACTCGCGTATCTCAGCAAAATTCCTTCCATTGCCACAGTCTAGTTGCCGGGAACCAAATCCGGTCCACGTCAAGAAGCACCAAAGCAACAAAACAAAGCCTAGCTGGTTGGTGACTTGAAAACATCAACTCCGAATCCAACAACATCGTTCACTGGGGGGCATCGGAGGTGTCCCAAGCCCTTCAAGAGACAGACCTCCAGCCTTCCAATCTTTTGCGCCGTGTTCAAAACAGTTGCTTTAAATTAAGACTTTGCATTTCCCCAAACACCAATGTAGTTCATGTAGTTGACAGCAAAGTGTCATTTTGCAGTGCTGTCTTGTTTGTTCTGACATCCATTTTGCGGCCCGTAAAAGACAATTTGGAAACACACGGAAGGAGAGCCACAAATAGCACATGGCATGATAGGTTCCGAAACGCTGATGTCCACATACTCAGGTATTTCAAAGCATGGCCTAAGATCCTCTATCAGTCGGCTCTGCGGTGGATGCCCTGATTGAATTCCTAACGTTCCTAACTGAGTGTTGAGCATGGTCCCAGCATTCAGTATCAACCACCTTGGTTTTGAATCTAGGCACTTCCACTGGGGAGGTTGTCTCCATCGTCTGCCATGAAGCGAGAACTGACTGACCTGACACCGAAACACGGCAGTCGTTGTCGCTCCAGAGATACCATAATGTGCAGTCCTAAATGTGGCTACTTGCTTATGATTGCTATGGTTATCATTATCATTTATGTATATTTATTATTTATGTTATATGTTCATTCCCATTCTCATCGTTCTCATCCTCATCGTTCTCATTATTGTTTAAACGTGTGGCCATAACTTGGGACCCCAAATTGGTGGCATCAAACACAGCCAAATTTTCGCTCCCCCCCGCCTCTTGACCATGATATACGCCATGGTGACCTTCGACCGCCAGCTGTCTAACTCGCCACCAGCCTGGGGGTGACTGTTGCAACGGCCATTTAAGATGATCCGAATCCAAAACTGGATATTGGCATGTTTCCACCTTTAAATGTGGATCATGTTCATAGTTCATCATAGTTCATCATAGTTCATTTCAGGATGGATTTCAGGATGGATTTCAGGATGGATTTCAGGATAGATTTCATGATAGATCTCATGATAGATTTCATGATAGATCTCATGATAGATTTCATGATAGATCTCATGATTGATCTCATGATAGATTTCATGATAGATTTCATGATAGATTTCATGATAGATCTCATGATAGATTTCATGATAGATCTCATGATAGATTTCATGATAGATTTCATGATAGATCTCATGATAGATTTCATGATAGATCTCATGATAGATTTCATGATAGATCTCATGATAGATCTCATGATAGATTTCATGATAGATCTCATGATAGATTTCATGATAGATCTCATGATAGATCTCATGATAGATTTCATGATAGATCTCATGATAGATTTCATGATAGATCTCATGATAGATCTCATGATAGATTTCATGATAGATCTCATGATAGATTTCATGATAGATCTCATGATAGATCTCATGATAGATTTCATGATAGATCTCATGATAGATTTCATGATAGATCTCATGATAGATTTCATGATAGATTTCATGATAGATTTCATGATAGATCTCATGATAGATTTCATGATAGATTTCATGATAGATTTCATGATAGATTTCATGATAGATTTCATGATAGATCTCATGATAGATTTCATGATAGATCTCATGATAGATTTCATGATAGATTTCATGATAGATCTCATGATAGATTTCATGATAGATCTCATGATAGATTTCATGATAGATTTCATGATAGATCTCATGATAGATTTCATGATAGATCTCATGATAGATTTCATGATAGATTTCATGATAGATCTCATGATAGATTTCATGATAGATCTCATGATAGATTTCATGATAGATCTCATGATAGATCTCATGATAGATTTCATGATAGATCTCATGATAGATCTCATGATAGATTTCATGATAGATCTCATGATAGATTTCATGATAGATTTCATGATAGATCTCATGATAGATTTCATGATAGATCTCATGATAGATTTCATGATAGATTTCATGATAGATCTCATGATAGATTTCATGATAGATCTCATGATAGATTTCATGATAGATCTCATGATAGATTTCATGATTTCATGATAGATCTCATGATAGATTTCATGATAGATCTCATGATAGATTTCATGATAGATTTCATGATAGATCTCATGATAGATTTCATGATAGATCTCATGATAGATTTCATGATAGATTTCATGATAGATCTCATGATAGATTTCATGATAGATCTCATGATAGATTTCAGATTTCATGATAGATCATGATAGATTTCATGATAGATCTCTCATGATAGATCATGATAGATCATGATAGATTTCATGATAGATCTCATGATAGATTTCATGATAGATCTCATGATAGATTTCATGATAGATTCATGATAGATTTCATGATAGATCTCATGATAGATTTCATGATAGATCATGATAGATCATGATAGATTTCATGATAGATCTCATGATAGATTTCATGATAGATCTCATGATAGATTTCATGATAGATTCATGATAGATTTCATGATAGATCATGATAGATTTCATGATAGATCTCATGATAGATTTCATGATAGATCTCATGATAGATTTCATGATAGATTTCATGATAGATCTCATGATAGATTTCATGATAGATCTCATGATAGATTTCATGATAGATCTCATGATAGATCATGATTTCATGATAGATTTCATGATAGATTTCATGATAGATTTCATGATAGATTTCATGATAGATCTCATGATAGATTTCATGATAGATCTCATGATAGATTTCATGATAGATCTCATGATAGATCATGATAGATTTCATGATAGATCTCATGATAGATTTCATGATAGATCTCATGATAGATTTCATGATAGATCTCATGATAGATCTCATGATAGATCTCATGATAGATTTCATGATAGATCTCATGATAGATTTCATGATAGATTTCATGATAGATTTCATGATAGATCTCATGATAGATTTCATGATAGATCTCATGATAGATTTCATGATAGATTTCATGATAGATCTCATGATAGATTTCATGATAGATCTCATGATAGATTTCATGATAGATCTCATGATAGATTTCATGATAGATTTCATGATAGATCTCATGATAGATTTCATGATAGATCTCATGATAGATTTCATGATAGATCTCATGATAGATTTCATGATAGATTTCATGATAGATCTCATGATAGATTTCATGATAGATCTCATGATAGATTTCATGATAGATTCATGATAGATTCATGATAGATTTCATGATAGATCTCATGATAGATTTCATGATAGATCTCATGATAGATCTCATGATAGATTTCATGATAGATCTCATGATAGATCTCATGATAGATTTCATGATAGATCTCATGATAGATTTCATGATAGATCTCATGATAGATTTCATGATAGATTTCATGATAGATCTCATGATAGATTTCATGTCCATCCAAAGTGTGGATCCAAAAGATCCCACCAGTTGCCATGATCCCCGCCTCAGCTTGCAGGGAGTCGAAGGCTGCCAGGATGCCGGACGCCTCGCATGGCTCGTGGATCTCCTCTTCCTGGCAAAAAATGGTGGGATGTCATGGTGATATAACGGGTACATAATGGTGTATGTATGTATGTATATAATATATATATATATATTTAGATTTAGATTTTTTTAGAATGATGTATAGGATTGCATATATGTACGATTAACAATGCAACCCTCCAAGATTATTGAGGTGTCTGTGGGTGACATGTTGGTCCTTTATCGGTTTTTGGTGCTGATGCTGACAATTCTCCGGGTCATATTGAGCCTTTTGACGAATCATGTTTTGGGAAGTTGTTTATGGAAAAAGGATGCAGGCGTTACCTCTGTTTTTGAAAAAAGACACATGTAAACAGATGTGAACACTTTTGGACAGATGTAAACACATGTTGACAGATGCAAACAAAACTAAACAACTGTAAGCGCATGCAACAAAATGTAAGACCATGATTTCCTATGAATCTTCCCTTAATTCATCATCCATTTCTGTGAGGATGTTGGACATCTCATGACATCTCACATGGACATCTCCAGTCTGGATCCAAGGCTCCATCAACAGCATTTCTTGGCTTTCACTGACTCCACCGCGATAGATGATCACTGTATCAGGCATACGTCGCATCCTGGTCTCGAAAGTGACTCAAGTCATCACCAGAATCGGCCGATGAAGGCCATGCCCTTGTAACTCAAATTCCAAACCAACATAACATAACATGGCACTGGCACGACTCCAACAACTGTGATGTCACAGCTTCACAACTTCACAGTTGTTGGGTGCACAGCTGAAAATCAAATCACCAAGGTCACCAAGCCTTCAAAAAAGCGTTCCCTTCGGGGATTGATCCAACAGGAGATAGCCCAAACATTGGTTTCCTACGTCAAACCGACTATCAGCTGCTCAGGTCGCATTAAACAACTGTGGCTGGGTGGCTCCACAAGGAAAATCGTACAAAAACATGATGAGTTGCAACGATGCATATTTTCATTCTTGTGACGTTTTATATCTGAATAGGTGCAAGATTCCCTGGCCATTTCAGTCTTTACCAATCTTTGGGGTATCCCTTCCGCCAACTTCCAACTGTTTCCAAGCATCTTTTGGTAGAAGTGCAGTAGCGCCTCCTTCATCAATGATCCAGCTTGACCACCATGAGGATCTTCTGCCACTCGCCAGGTGCTGTAGTAGCTGGTGAAGTAAACCTGAGATGCAAGGGCTACAGTGACTACAGGTGACCGTCTGACCCCATTTCCAGGTCGCCAGGTCGGAACTGGCAAACAGCGGTACTTCAGTGTTGAGGTGGCACCTGGGGACACCCTGGCGATACCAGCCATCCAACGTGGCCAACGTGGGCCGAGGAACGTTGCATGAAGCTGTTAGCGCCTGAAGCACTGGAGCCTCCTTTCCAGCCTTGCAGCTGAAGCAGTGGGCTGAGGTGACACAAAAAGGCTGGCTTTGAGGAGATCTGAAACCTCACTTTAAAACTCGAGGATACAAAATTTGGAAAATCCCGGAAAACTATGGAAAACTTGGAGACTCCATGATAGATTCACTTAATTTACCAGATATCAGATATCCATAGCATGGTATAGAGTACCATGATATTCCTTAATTATCACTTAATCATAGAATGAATCTATCATGATAAAAAAAAAGCGGCAATCCCCAACCTTGATGGTGTCCAGGCCCACGACCATGATGCTGCGCCCCACGTAGGGCAAGGGGTCAATGGCCTCGAGTCGGTTACCAAGAAATCCACAGAAACTTCACCCACCCCTGGGAAAAATGGAGGTTTCATGCCAACTAACAGGGGAATATAGCTACAAACATAGAACTAACACCAGGGATCCACCAAAAAAATGGGCGTTGATGGCGAAAAACACCAATAAGATTGGGCCATTGGGGATATACAACTACCTGGAACTGGTTTTTGCTCAAGAGTTGGGTGCAATCACAAGCCACAAGCCCATCTGAGTAGCAGTGAAAGCTGACCCTTTCAGCCTCCATCATTCCTCTCCCCCAACAAAGATAATACAAAGCTAGAACTCAAAAAATAGCAAGGCCCTGAAATTTGGGTAGACGCTTGTCTACTCATGTTTTTCTGCGTGAAATCTGGATCGAAGCATGATCTCCATAAATCAAACAATCCCATTTTGCCAGTCAAAAATGGGTAAGATGTTTTTCTCATCCATTACATATCGACGTTTTCATAGGTTTTCCATGGTTTTCCATGGTGTTCCCTACAAGTCAGACAAATCCAGGTGCCAAGTCGAAACCCTTTTTTTGGGTCGTGCCCATGGCCTCCATGGCCCCCAATGGCCCCCATGGCCCCGCCAAGCTACCCACAAAAACGCACCCTTCTTCACCAGGATTTGTTGCAGGATGCTACGCCAAACCTCTGCAGTTTCCCATGTAACCATTCAGTATCCATGGATTTAAAACCATCAGAAAACAATGGCTTATATACCACTTATATTATATCCACTTATGATATTAGACTATATTAAATCAACTGTATTCAAATATCAATATAATGTGGTAAACTCAATTATAAATTATAAACGACCTCCAATAACATTACCATAAATGGGTTGTTTAAACCATACCCAAATGGTAGGTGCCTGGCATTGGGTGTACATTTACTGGACTGGATTTCGATTCCTACACTTTGGTTTGCCGGTTGGCCATAGAAACACCAATATGAAAGGGTACAGGTAGATATGGGCGCATCATCCCAACCCAATCCCCCAACCTGCATTCTCTGCGTCTCTCGCTGCAATGTTGAAGATAGAACCAACTGCGAAGGACAACAGTGGTCCCACTGGAATGTGAGTAAACTCTTGAGCTGATAGTAGTACCTCAGCAAAGGCAATGTGGTCTCTCTCATCTCAGTGGGATCAGTGGGCGCTCACCATTTGACCAAGCTGCTGATCTCGGCGTTTTCCCTGAGGAATGGCCTGAGATCTTCACCAAAGTGCTGCCATCCAACCTATACGTCTCTAACGCGTCCTCTCAAGCCTGTGAGTCTTGACACGTCTTGACATGTCTTGACATGTCTTGACAACTCCATTTCAACAAAACAAACAAAGACATACTGACAAACTACAGACGTCCTTCTATCAAAGGAGACAAAGGTCTCAAGTCTGATGCTTCTCCAATGAAAAGCGAAGCCAGCATATATTGAGCAACACAGCACCGTCACCAAGTAGCTAAGAGAACAAAGTCCGTCAAATCCTCGGAAATCATTTGTCTTGGTGGCATCACAATGGTACACCAACACTAGCAGTCACTACCAGTCTGGCTGTCCCTGGAGAAAATCGATGTTCCGTTGGATCAAATCCCCAAAAGGACAAAACGTGAGGATCAAAATGTGAAGGCCTTACATCCACATAGTCGATGGGTAGAGGAAATCCACTTCCCTTTTTTGTGCCTGTAAGTGTATTCAATGCAGGATATCCTCCATCTCATCTACTTTTCGATCATCCAACTTCATGTATAAATTTTGAATGCGCGCCTTGCACCCTGGAAATCTAGCTTACAACCTCAAAAATGCACTAGACAAGTCGTGGGACAAAATCCAATTGTGTGGCGTTCATATTTGTTTGCAGGGCCGGGCAAAGAGCCCAAACCTTTGCAGAGTTGCACCAAGATTCCTTCCCCCAAGGAGGCTGATAGGCCAACAATTTCTTCACCTTGGCAGAAAACATGGCCAGTGGCATGGCCTGATCCCATGCTAAGTGCAATTGCTTAACATGTTTAAGCTGGGAAACCGCCATCCAATACCATCCAATGCCATAAAGCTGCCATTTGGGGATGGGTTATGATTGGCTTTGCCACATTAACAACTATGAGGTAGCGTTTCACCAAAGGTCCAGTGGAAATCCATTTCCGATCCATCAACAAGTCAGCAGCCCGCTGAGTGAAACCGACCCAGCCGCTAACTGAAGAGGCCTGGGCGACGTTCGAAGCGTTTCACAGTTTCACGGTCAGGTTTTCTTGGAGAACTCACCCAAACGATCCCAAAAGTCTTGGTTCACACGGTCACTTCCTGCATCGTTGTTTCGCAGCCCGTGAATGAGAAATTGATCAGAATTCCCATGACCGGCTGCTGTTCCCAGTGTACTAGTACGACAGCTGGTGCAACTCCCTGAAGATTGCTGGCCAGCAGCGGAAATCAAAACCACTGTCGGCTTTGAAATGTCAATCTTGTTGCCAGTGTCCTTCGGGGAATGGCGTGGGCTCATTGACTTGCGAATGTCGAATTGCTCATTTTGAGAAACATGTAAATGTATCATTGATGAGAGGCAAATAAAAGTAGAATGTTTATCTCGGAACAAGCACATGAAATACTGCCAAACGGGAAAAAAAAACAATTGAAACCTTACCAAACACGTTTCCGCTGTTCGAATACGTATCCCCGTGTGAAATGACTTGACTAGAGATTCCTGTTTAGACTCAATTACATATTTGTTGAATAAAATTGTTTGACAAAATCAACTTGTGCCCCTACACATTGACAGGTTCCGTTTTCATTTTTGATGGTGGCACCGGTACTTGGTGATCACCCCGGTCTGTTAGACCTTGCGATTGTTCGCATACTTTGTCCGCCCCCTTCCCTGAACAAAGCTGGCCTCAGCGGATCGAAGTTCGCCCACCATCCTCGCAAGGGATGAGTGGCTATTCCCATTATTTCCATCAAAACATCCGATTGCAATTACTGTATTGCAATTGCTATGAAACAGAGCCTTCAAAATATCTTCAAAGTATCTCAATGTTCAGAGCAAACAATTTGGCCATTTGATGTCCAGAAACGAATCCAGATTTTTTGTTGCTGTACAAGTATCACAACCATTCACAACCAGTTTTTTTCGGATTTCGGGTTGGGCTCTGCGATCCACAGCTTTGAAAACAGATGGGGATCCAGAATCCGCCCAGAATCGGTTCGATCTCCAGGATGAAGTGTTCCACCACGTCCTTGTCGCCGGCTGGCGCGAAGATCAGCCATCGACCCTGGCACGTCACCTCCCTTGATAGGAAAACCTAGGGAAACCCTCTCTCCAATGAACCACTATGGATACTATGGGTACCTCTCTTTTCATCATGGATCGCAAAACATCCAGTGGAAACCCAACTCTCTTTTCATCATCAATTGATTGACCTTGAAATTTGGATGGTTTCACACTCCAAATCATCCATATGATGTTGGCTAACAATATATTATATATATATATATATATGTAGTACTCAATTGCATTGCCATGTTCATTGTTTCGAAACCATGGGGGGGTGTTGATGTTCTCCATTTTTGTTTCAGAGAAACCCCTATGGTTTTTGCCAAGGGACCAAGGTGATGCTCTCGCCCGGGCGGGTCCAGACCTGACATCACAGCTGAGCGGTCCAAGAATGGCAGATTTATCCCATGAAAATTGGAATATGAAAAACTGATCATAAATCTCTTATCGATTGGGGACATATGATGGAATTTAGGTGAAACCCATGTTTGATTGGATGTAAGAGAAATCCATTTTTTGGACACAAACCTGGGAACTGACAAACCCCACTAATCTACTGTAACTGATCCACTAGTGTGTGATGAGAGATTAACCTTGCATGAAAAAGCAGCCCCACCGGTTGAGCCGGACCGAAACTCTTCAGCCCTAGTTTGTTGCAAATAATGTTTTGTTGTTGCGAATGGATTCCTTCATTTGTGGAACCAAAGCTGTCTTCAATTCCTACTTTTTGAATGAAACATGTGCAAGACGATGAAGGATTGAAGCCTCCTCACATACTGGATGATCTCAGCTAATACATGCTAGTACAAAGGGTGCACAAACCAAATTCAGCTGGATGTCCGAAAGAACATGATCTCAAACGTCGATAACAACGAAGTACATAAGCAGTTTCTCCTGTAAATAGCCCCATGGAAATTGCAATTTTGCCGCGTACCCCATGTTTGGACCACCCATATCTGATAGTGAAAACCCGCCATGGCAACCCACGCCCACCTCTGGCCACGGTCGTCTTTCAAAGCCATAGCGAGATGTTTTGATGGCCAGCTCTGGTGGGGGAACACGCCTCAGATGGAAATCCCATGATTTCCCGCCATTTAGAATTGCAATTTTGGGGTATCCGAGACAAAGCCATGTATAAGTAGAAAAAGGGTAGACTGGTGGTCCTTTGTCAAGTTTTCATCGCCCAGTTCTGATTAGACCCTCCATTTATATCCATTTATAGGGGATTTTCTGATGCCATGTTTGATTACCAGAGGGTAAGGTTCTTGGAAAGACCCGCCTCGCCACCGAGTTGCAGCTGTTGAAAGTACTCTTCCACCTTGGGGCTGAAGTAGACTGGTTCCTGCTGACGCTGGAAAAGGCCCGGATGCGGACGCTGGTCTCTTCGTTTTTTCCCTGAAAATGTTTGGCTTGGGGGATGGACAAACAAACAAAACAGCCAACCAATGACTCCATCAACTAAGTTGATGAAGTCTATATCCCCACCTTATCCCCACCTTATCCCTATATCATCCCCATATGATTCGCTCATCTCCCCGTCAAGCGGCCCGCGGCCAGCGACCCAACCTGTGGCAGTTCGCCAAAGTTCACCGTGATGGGTTTGGAGGCGACCTTCACACCCCACTCACCTCAGTGACTCAGGAACCCAAACAACTGATGTATCAGCAACATTAGTATATGCGTATTACATATATATGTATATATATATGCATATATATATATATGTATATATATATATATGTATATATATGTATGTATGTATGTATGTATGTATGTATGTATGTATGTATGTATGTATGTATGTATGCATGTATGTATGTATGTATGTATGCATGTATGTATGTATGTATGTATGTCGATAGATAGATAGATAGATAGATAGATAGATAGATAGATAGATAGATAGATATGTGTAGATAGATATGTGTAGATAGATATGTGTAGATAGATATGTGTAGATAGATATGTGTAGATAGATATGTGTAGATAGATATGTGTAGATAGATATGTGTAGATAGATATGTGTAGATAGATATGTATAGATAGATATGTATAGATAGATATGTATAGATAGATATGTATAGATAGATATGTATAGATATATATGTATAGATATATATGCATAGATAGATATATATATATATGTATAGATATATATGTATAGATATATATGTATGGATATATGTATATATATATTGAAGAGTGTATTAGTGAATAAATAATATACTGTATTGATATATTATATAGTGATATCTTGTTAGCAATATATGAGTAAGTACCAATCATTATGGCAATAAATTTAGTGATTCTTAGTGATATTAGTACATATTCGAGATATATTCGAGATGAAGAGTGACCAAATCTGTGCCGACTTGTCACGAAGGGCTTCCCCTTGCTTGGTCTCGTTCAGGCCTGTCATCAATCTGGCCTGGCGAGGATCGCAGACCACGTCATTTTGGGTGATCATTCCGCTTAAATCAGGAGCAACCATGGTATGCCATGATTCTTAGGGTTATCCCATGCTCAAGGGTTTACCATATAACCCACTCACTACCTTTGATTGTCGCCCAAGTAGGACCAACATCCCGGATCGTTTGGCCACTCTATTGCACTTGGTCTTGGGGTCGAAAGGGCTAACCAACCTCTGACAGTTCCAGGGAAATCCATCATAGAGCAGACAGCAAAACAGAGCAAGGGAAGGATTCCTTCCATCCCTGCCGCGCGACCACCGTGTGAACAATATGAAAGTAACCAAATTCAATCAAACCATTCCCTTCAAATCAAGCATAATGCGACAGTTTGTGTCCCCGACCTACATCTCGTGAACAGTCACATCGGCCATTTGGAATATGAACGTCAGTTTGTGGGGAAGCACCAAGGATAAATCAATCTATATGTAATTTTTTTGCTACTGGCTCAAAGGATCTTTCGATGCGGCCAATGCAATGAGCTGTACAGTGGACTGGAGGTTCAGCCAGTGTAATCGCGTCCGATCACATCACCGTAGTTGGAAACTTCCATATTCAAACAACGGGAGTAAAACTCATGGCTGACCTCTAGCTCGGGATCCGCGTCGTGCGCACGGTGAGCTGCAATGAAGGCAGAGCTGAGACCGCCAATTGACCCGAATTGTCAACCCCAATTGATGCGCCACGTGGAAGGTCTTTAGCAGTCTGCCACGAGCGCAAATGATGCTCAAGGTCTGGTAAATTCAATGCAAGCAGCATCGCTGGCTTCGGTGATGCCGCCCCCCAGAGGCCTTGAGCAAGGCTGACGATCCGGAACTCTGGCCAAGTGAGCAAGAAGGTGATCAATGGAAGGCGCCAAATCGACGCCTTGTTCTCATCTTCTGGCATGGCGGGGTGTTCCAGAATTCCGTTACCCCCAGCAATCGCAAGATGGACCAGTGCTTCAATATGGTGAACAGGAGCAAAAGGTTACCAACTCCAAATTGCCTCAGCTCACGAAGGGTGAGAGAATCCATGCCCCATAGCGTCTCAATGAGACGAAGAATCCTCGGGCACCACCTGCCAGGAATAGCGACACCCCTTGCTTTGGACCAAGTTTCACACGGTGGTCCGGCCAGTAAGGAGGTCACAAATCCTTCCCGAATGCCCTGCAGCCAGAAATTGCGAGTCTCAATACGGCTCACATCACCCCAGCACGCATCGACAACCAGATCTAAAGAGATCGTGTGGAGCAAAAACCCATCCTCAGTGGAACCAGCGCGATCCAAGTAGTGTTGGAAGTCACCCAAACGCCTGCGACCCGAAAATGCGTGTAGCACATATCGGTGGCGTCCAAAAGGCCGCGGTGAGGCCTCGTGCAGTGGGCCACCACGTGGAGAAGCACTCTCCCTCTCGAGGATGGTATATGAATCTGTTCGACTGCTTCGCACGGAGGACCATGTCGGCGCTCGTCACGAAGAAAGCTCCATGCCGCGCCAGTGTTGAGAAACTGCAGAACGTAGATAATGTCCCCGTGTGCAAGCCCGATCGCCTCTGCGTCCTCAATGGTGATATGCTCGATCGAGGTATGCCAGTGTAGCAGAACACGATGTCCACGATACACTGCGGGCGTAGATCGTGTCTCTGATGATCTGTTCAAGTGTCCTGGGTGTCTGAAGGTCTTCTCTTTCAGCAAGTGCCTGGTAGATGTTCTCTCCAAGGATGAGGTCGTGAAGAACTTCTTCCCCAAGTACTGCCGGTAACATTGGCCCCTCGCCTTGCAGTGGAGGCAATAGAGAATCGTGAGCGTCGGCCAGGCCACGATCTTGCGTAGATCCCCAACCTCCAACAGGGTCAACAAAGTGCCCGCGGCCGATGAGGGTCCTACGGCAATGTTCTGAGTGAAGGAGGTGGTTTTTGACCTTGCCATGAGGAAAGTACTCTTTCAAACAAGCTGGGCAGGTTGTGGTATTGAACAGCTTCCTCACACGGTTGCAGATGCCGTGCGCCTTGAACATATGTGCCCCTTCTCCTCCACGACTGCCAAAAGGTTTCCTGCATGACATGCATCCAAAAAGCTGAGTGGAAGGCCTATCAGAAGAATCTGCTCGAAAATCTTCAGCTGAAAGATGTCCCAAAGCAACGAAATGGTCCAGGATGCGGTGGTGTGCGGCCATGACATGAAAGTGATTGGCACGCTGTAACTGTAGGCAAGCATGTTCACACGCTCTTCGATCCAAACGCTTCCAAAATGGCCTGTGGTAGCGGTGCAAATAGCGCCATGACTCGAAGTGCCCTGCAGGGTCAAGGAGCGATGAAGCCCCTTTGAGCTGGTGCCACATCCAGGTGATGTCATCGTTGAGAAGCTCAACCCATGATGCGTCCGCGTTAAGTAGGCCCCCATGGAACAACGTCATGGCATGCAAAAAGGGTGCAAAGATAGCGAAGTCTGCAAGAACGAAGGAGTTCACTCGGTGAGGGTAGACAAGTGCGGCAAAGGATGCCGTCATCTGCAGCATGATGGTCACGTAGATCGGGCAACAAACGGCGGTAGAGCCGAATGATGGCCGAATGCAAATAGTGTTTGAATTTCCTTGTAGAAATGGTCCAAGATTCTGCTCCGTAAAGGAGTCGACTCAGGATGAGGCTGCGGAAAAGCTCTATACCCGTCTGCGGAGGCTGAGACACTGGTTTTGCAAGAGCGTCTTCCGATGTTGTGTAAAGGTAGTGGGGGCTATGGCAATTCTTTTTCTGATCTCAGCCACACTGTCCTGCTTGTGGTGCACAAGTCCTCCCAGATGATGGTATCCACTGACGACCTGAACCAGGTGGGTGGTGTCCTCGTCCAAGATGCACATGCGTCCAGAAGCGTTCGGACCAAAGTACTTCTTCTTAATCTGATGTGAGTGTCGTCCTCAAGGACAGAAGAATTTCAGTCTTGCCGGTCTTGAGATTTGGCGTCATGGCAAACTGTCGACAAGATGCCAATAACAAAGAAGTGCAAAGACTAACCTTGCGCTCCAGGGACAGGCATCTTCCGCAAATGTGCAAAGACAAAGATCATCCATCCAAGTGGGACCGGTAAACTCAGAGGTCATCGTGCTCGGTTGATCTCATCTGATCCTGGTCCAAAGGGTTCAAAGCTCTCCTGGATGGGGATCTGGTTCGCGAGGCCAAGATCGCGCAAGCGTCCTTGAAGTCCACGTAGAAGACGCGCCCAAAGATAGGAGAAAACCACGTCTGCAAAGCAATCCCCTGGCCTTGTGCCGACCTTTGTTTTGCAAACATCCTCCTGTCCTCGCAAATGCAAATGCGTCTCGCTGTGCAATGCTCTAAGGGCGTGCTGTGCTTGATGGGGCACTCTTGCCAAGGCAGTGGCATGAGGATCAGACAAGTGTGCCCAGAGTCCCTACATAATGTCATCAGAGAGACCAAGGCGTTGAGCTACTTGCAGAATGGTAGCATCGTCAACAGGACTCCCGATAGCAAGTGGTCTGAGGACGCGATAAAAGGCTTCAGTTAAGTCTAAAAAGACGAGCCAACACAATGTCCGCGAGCCACATGGTGCCTGAGATATGCCCGTACAACATGTAATCCTAGTGTGACTGGTACATGCCGACGACCTCCAAACTGTTCGGCTTGTAGGTACCGCTCAAAGAGCGTGCACTGTTTCTGGCGGATGGCCCTGTGGAGGCACTTGCCAACATGACTCGACACCAGGATGCTGCGAAATGAGCTGCAAACATCCATGGGCCCTTTACCTTTCCAGATCGGATGAAGGCACCCCCCCTTGTGAATGAGAGCTCCTTGGCCATGAAGATAAAACTTCAGCCATTTGACTGGGGGCCGCATGACAGATAGCCGGATGGATTCCGTCTGGGCCACAACAGTTTTGGTTGGTTGAACACGTCGGAAGGCTCTTTCCAAGTCCAAAAGTGTTGGTAATTCTGATACTTGGGCCTGGAGGTTCTGGTTGTTCAAGGCGGCCAGGGATTCAATCCATTGTGCATGCTGTTCGGCCTTGGAGAGGCGAATGCCGCCTTCCATCTGTTGAAAGAAATGAATCCATTCTTCCCTCGCTTCCTGAGGATCTTGGCAATGCGTGCCATCTTCTTTCTTCAGGTATGGTAGGGCAGAGTTCTTCAATTTCTTGAAGTTGGAAGGTCCAGTAATGGGTCTCAGCTTGTGCAGGATGGTCGATAAGCTCCGGGGTCCATGTTCTCAAAACAAAGCTGGATATGACGTTGTTTGGCAGATCGCAGCTGGGAACGGAGCTGTCGAGTGTCTGCACGAAGAGCACTCCAAACATGCAATTTGTAGCATAAGAGGCTGGTGCCGTAGTTGAAGAAAACTTCACAAGGAGGTTGATCTTGAGTACGATGGCAAAGCTGCCTCCACTGCTGAAAGAGCACAACTTGGGTTTCTTCACGGATCCGCTTTTCAATGGCCTTAAGTTGTCGTCGGCGACGAAGTTTGACCTTCCTGAGTTCCCAAAGTTGGTCATCGATGTATGGCTTCTTGGGTTGATCTGATCTTTGGGGGCAAGATTGATGTAGTCCATGTAGAATGTGTGCGTTGAATCCCTCCACATGGGTTTCAATGTTGGTGTCCCAAGAGGGTGCGTGATAGCCCTGGAGGATGTCCTCGATCTTGTCTGTTGCAATCTTGTGTGGGTCAAACCTGGGCCGCTTCGTTCGACCAGTCCCCAAGTGCTGATGACTACGCTTCCAGTTCAGCTGAACCGCGTGGCTGTGTGATCCCATTGTGCATGGCCTAGGTCAAAGTCCTCGACTGTGCTAGAGAAAGTGCCTGAGTCCATGAGAGCAAGATCAACTGCAACATAGTCGATGCAATGTTGTGTAGTCCCATCAGGAGAAATCCACGTCTCCAGCTCACCCGCATGGACCGCACTGGTGCACGGGAGGCCAAGATGGCAGGCTTGCAAAAATTCCCGCCAAAGTGGGGTACTCAAACTCTTCGAGAGATCATCTCGCAGGACGACCGAGCCGTCCCAATCTCCAGGAGCTGCATTCGCATCGACCATGACAAAGAGCTGTGTCCCAGGATGGTCTGCGGACGCCTAATTCTGTGAAGTGACTCCACCAAGCCGTGCGTATGTCTTCATCAATGCCACTATGAGGAGCGTGGCCAACCAGAAACCATGCATCAAAATAGGGACATACTGCGTGCACAATGTTCGGGAAGAGATCAAGACTCAGGGTGATAGGCTTGAACAGTGTCTTCAGGGCGGTTTTGAGGGAGTCAGCCGATACCTCAATGAGCTTGTCCGTGTGATGGGGACACCGGAAGGGATCCATAGGGACACACCAGAGACGCCGGATATGGGTGGATTCTTTCCACCGAACCCACCTGTCAATCCTCCTGGCATGGTTGGGCCGACAGAGACAGCTGCCGTGCCCGGGGCGGGGTTGCCTGGAGGCACTCCACCATCTATGAGTATGCCTGCCGCGCCTGCCAGTGGACATCCATTGCCTGCGGCACCTGCCAGTGGACATCCATTGCCTGCGGCACCGAGCCCTGGGATCTTTGTGAACAACTTGAAAATGCTCACGCTTGAAGTAGAGGGCTTTCTTGCCACACCGTCCACAGGGTTGAGAAGTATTGACCCAAAGCTCGGCTCCAAGTTGCTTGCCATGACTTCCCGAAGTCAGTCTGACGAGCTGGTCAACAAAAGTGTGTGATGAAGGTGTTCTAGCTTCTTGTATCCCCAGGATGTTGAGTCCAAGGTGAATGAATTGCTTGCGCAAATAGTCCAACTTACCACGGTGACCATCAGGTCCCAAGCTCAAAGAGTTGACATTTGCTGTACAAAGACTGAGTGTCAAAGCGACAACTGGTTGGGCTTGTTGTTGTTCCGGAAGGAGCGGAGGAGGAACATGGAAACCATCTCCGCAAAATTGAGGGAGTCCATCATGCTGACTGAAGATCATCCACAAATAGCTCAGTGCAGGACGCCAAGTGCGCATTGTCAAATGGGGTCTGCGAAAGTACTGGCTTTTGCGGATCTCAAGCTTGGCTAAGTAATCACAGAGCTCGTTCCAGGGTTCACCGCAATGTCCTGGGACGTGGCAAAATTGCAGTGCATCCCCAGGTAGGAGTGATTCCGGGGCTTGAAAGATGCCTCTGATGGTCTCATGGGACTCGGTGTTCGTGGAGTTCCCGATGTGCCCCCTTGCCTGTAGCTCTGTGGTCATAGAGTCAGTGCGGAACGTCGTTGGAATAGAAGAATTGTGAGTCAATCTCCAGAGTCCGGCCCAACTCATCGCGGTTGGCCCCAAGGTAGTAATTGCCGTCAATGTCATATTGGACCAGTTGAGCATTCCATCCCAAAAGGGTGAGGCTAGGAGGGGAGTATCTTTCCCACAGCACAACGTAGGCCCAGGCATCTCCAAGACCTTCTTCAGCGGCACGTAGTGGTGGGAGGTGCTTGCCTGCTCCAGCTGACGATCCATCTGCGTAGATGATCAAGCGGTCCAGATCTCCCCAACACAATGTTTGATCACAAGATGTGATTGCCTCGATTACTTCCTCTGGGAAATCAAAGCCGCTGGGGTCATTGTGCAGGACATCGTTGTGGGACTTGAAAAAGTCTTGAAGGTCCTGTTGGGATATACTGGTACGAAGAAGTTGATCAGTGGAGAAGGTCGTACCAAATTGAAAGGGTATTTCAGCCTGACGAGGTCTTTGTTGAGGTTCAGGCCATTGAGCGGTAGGCTTGTCGCGCAAGGTCTTTTCGCCTTGCGCAACTTGTTGATCAGTAAAGTTGATCTTGTACAGGCAGGGAAGAACTTCGATGCAAGAGTTAATGACAGCACGAAGGTATCCACAGCGATGAAGAAGTCGAAGTTGGTCAATTTCTGACAGGGCTGATCCACAAGAATGGAGAAAGGCTCCATTGACGTCCATGACGTCAGAGTGGCAGAACATGTAGTGCACGTCTTCATTGAAGCGCCATCCTGGAGGAAAGCAAACCGCTTTGTCATGTTCATCAAAAATGATGGCCTTGCCACTGTGCCCACAAGTGGGTAGTTCTGCTTCTAGTTCTTTCTGCCCTCCGTCTTTGAAGATCTCTCGTGACTGGCAGTGGGTCCATAGGTGCCCCAGGAATGAGATTGATGACTCTCGCTTCCACATCGGAAAGGTTCTCGTCAGGTGCCGCAATTTCACCAACTTCATCAGTAACAGGTATTGACCGAAGAAGCCGAGCATGTCGTTGAAGAAGCGAAACTCCTTCGGCGTCCTGACTACGATTCATAGTGACATGTTGGATAGTCTGCATTTGTAGGACGATGCCATAGCCACTCCGTCCAGGCAATGCCCTTCCTGTAATGAGAGGAATGTCCTGGTACCATGCTTGGCATTGATGTGTGGCAGCGTCTCCAAAGCAATGGTCAAAGAGGCCCATGCTGAAGAGGATGTGCTCCAGAAAGATGTGTTCGTGGACCGTCACAGCGCTCCTGCCACGAACACGGAGGCGATGAGCTCCATCAAAGATGGCAATGAGCGGACTGACAAGATCTTCTCTGGGAGCTTGAACCAGCACGACACAAGCTGCATAGTCCGGACCAAGCTGTGGAGGTTGAGGAAGCACAATCTGATATTCAAGTGGGGCACCTGGAGCGATAAGGTCATGCCAGGCCAAACGTATCTGTCGTTCCCAATCAGTGAAATCTTCGAAGAGGCGCACAGGTCTTCCATGGTCACATCGCAAATGAGGAAAACGGTGGTCAGTGAAGAAGGTAAGAATCCGTGCAGAACTCTCCTCGCCCTCCCAGCTGAATGCTTCTGCAGTCCATATGGAATGAAGATCCTGGACAAATTCATTTTGAGCTGCAATGGCTGGTCTCTCAGGTAGAAAGGCTGGGGCGTTGGCATTGAAGCAAAAAGGGTGTGTTGCCCCAGTAGCAATCTGGTTGGCTGGTGGGGTGGCAGTCTGTGGTTGCTGACCACTCTCACTGGCAGCCTCAGGTCTTGATCCATTTTGATGACCAGTGGATGAGCGCTGCATCAAATCAATTGCATCGCTACTGCCAGTGTCGTCAAAATGAAGTGCTCCTTGATCAAGAAGAAGCAAAGGGGGCAAAGTTAAGGATGTCACAATCGTTATCCAGGAGGGTGGTGGTTGAGCAGATGGAAGTATGATATCCAAACTCGATCCACTCTCAATGAGCTCAGGTTCAAATCGTCGATCTGCAATTCCAAAGGGTATTCCTCCTTGGTGAATGCGACAAAATGGGCGTAGGTGCTGTTCAGAGTCACGTAGTTGAGCTTTGTCCAGAAGGTCACTTCTGTGCAGTAGCCCAGGTACAACGTGTGCTGCTTGCTGAATAAGAAGGGTGTGTTGTCGGGCTCTGTGTGTAGTAAGGACTATTGAAGCAAATTCATTGCTGGGTCCTTGCTCCAAGATCAAGTGACCGATATGGCTGGAGAGTGTACTCTGGGTTGGTGTCGGACGCACACAATGCAGGACACTCTCATCTGTGGGTGTGAAGAGGTCCTCCCAGGTCTCAATGATCTGCTCTTCCCAAGATGAGACTTCTTCTGTGAGTCGCACCGTTCGAGGTGTCCAGCAAGTGGGGAAGGTACGTCTGTTGAGGTACCATGTGATGATATAGGCGACTCTTCCCTCCTCCTCCATTTCCACAGTGGCGGTAGTGTTAAATGGTTTTCAAGTGGTGTATTCCATCCAGTGTTGAAGAATCTCCTCCTTGGCCTTTGTCGATGAGTGAGGGTGTGGATTGGAGAATCAACAGTGGAGTAGGAGGTTGAGTTGTGGTCGCTTTGGCACTGGTATGGTGATCGTCGTGTAAGTCGAAGTTCATGATGAAAAAGAGAAGTGTCATCTCGTAGGTCTTGTACATCATCTGATGAATCCTCAACTTCCGACGTGATAGCAAAATCATTGGGAGAAAGGGGGCCAATGAGTGCTTCTTCTCCAATGGTGGCAACCAGATAATGACCATGATGTAGGGTAAGTGGCATAGGGTTGTCCTGTGCAATCCAGTCAAAGTTCAACCAAAGATGAGCTCTGTCAGGATCAGCCCAAAAGTGCTCCTCAACGCCAAGAAGACGGAAAACGGTCAATCGTGTGGCCGTTTCTGGAAGCCAACATGCCCGTCTGGCAAAAACCAAAGGCGTATTGTGCTCGTCAGTGTAGACTTCGATGTCCACCAAAATCAGTCGGAGAATGTCTGCACTTGGAGGATCTGTGACTGTCTGGACAAGGAGGCACTCATGGTTCGTCTCTGCAATGTCACCTGGAGTAGATTGCATATGGTGGACATGGACAATGTTGTGCTCGTCAAAGGTGAAGGCGTCTTGAATGAGTCTGTCATCATGCCACGGTAGAGACAATTGCACAGTGGAGCCGGGGATGGTGAAGACGACGAAGTCTCTCCAATCGTCGGTGCAGTTGCTCATGTCATTGCTGTAGGAGCAGTACTCGTCAGTAGAGAAGGCAGCATCTTGTGGAACTGGTTGAGGTTGATCACGTGTCCTGTGCTCGCTGGAAGAAGATGATGTCTGGGTTCGGAACGTCATCATCGAAACATCGTCAGTGCCGGATGAGACAATACCACGACCAGTCAAATAACGCTGTTCCCACTCATCTGGTTGAAGGGGAGGCGGGATATTGATGACGAGCCCAAGCCCGTCATAGATTCGAACAGGTTGTCCTTGTGGTAGCATTCTGCGACCAACAAGGATATCACAAGCACCAATACCACGTGCTCTTCTGTCATCACAAACATCGCTGGCTCCCGCATGAAAAAGGACATGCCGGTAGGGCAGGATGCTGTCAAAGGAGCGCGCAATCTCCTCAACTTTGTTGCGAGGAAGGGCAGGCTCAATGGATGTCGTCAAGCATGCAGCACGGAATGGTGTTGGATTCTGGACAATGAGTAAGGTGCCAAAAGTCCCCGGCCTTCTAGTCACTCTCCCAGGAGTCAATGTCAATGTCGAACCTCAGTGGTCTTCCGCTGTCCTGCCGCCTATTGGTCAAATGACATATGAAGTATGAATTCATGTAGAAGACTGGCCCTTCGTCCGCTTCATCAAAAACTCCTTCTTCTTGTAACATTTGCCAAACTCTTTGTTGCCAATAAGGTCGGTCCAGGAACGAGGGCCTGGAAGTGCTTGAGCTGGATTGTGCGCTTGCTTGTGGAGCAGGAGGATCAGGAAACTGTGCCTGATCGTTGGGGTCAGGCTTGTGAAAGTCAAGCCCGGAACTTCCTCCAAAGATCTATCCTGAATATCAAAAATCTCCACAAGGTCGTCCGCACAGGAAACGCTTTTGCTCTTGCCGGTCTTGGTGGTGTGTGACACGGTCAAGGGGAACTGTGAGAGCGAACTCTTCAAGTTGCCGTCGGCAATCTCCATCGCTAGCCCTCTAGCGTCTTCTCGAGCTTGCCACTCGGTCTTGAAGGTCGGTTCCTGAATAATGCTATGGGTCCACTTGAGCACAGCTGGAGCTTGTCCCAGGCTGGACTCTAAACCTGCAGGCCATAGGCCCCCATACTCAAAGGTCATGGGTGGCCGGCCTTCGCAAAAGGCTGCATGGCAGGTGAAGATGTAGCAGCACCACTTCCAGGCTCTGCAGAAGATAGAGCTTACATGGGAGCGTCGTGCCTTTCTGGTGGAACAGTCCGCTGTCTTTTGTGAGATGTTTGCACTTCCAAATGGATCTCCTCCGCCTGCGCTTGAAATTGTTGCAGGGAGGCTGTAAGAAACTGCATGCTCTCTGTGATCTTTGTGGACGTAGTAGCACTGGGTCGCCCCGGCAAATCCTCCTCTTCGTCTTTGATCTCGATCACCTCCCCCACGATTGCCTTGGTTTCGTCCACCTCGACCTTGGCCACTGTGAAGGCTTCTCGCGCAGCTTGAATGCGCTCCTGATGATCCGTCTCTTGTGCTTGGAAAAGGCTGGCATATTCCTGCCAAGTCTGCACAGCGTCTGTGAGGAACGTCTTCCAAGACGCAATGAAATTGGTTCTGGCTTGTAGTGCAGCTTCCAGGTCGTCTTTGGCCTGCCCCAAGGCTTTCGCAGCTGTCTGGAAGTCTCGCTTTGCCTGGGCACCGTCCTTCTTGACAATCCTTTCAACAACTCCAGAAAGGCGGCATGGCTCAGATCTTCCAATTTCTCCGCTGTCATGATCTCGCTGCTCAACTTCCGGTTCATTTCGTCCATCTGAGCATCCACCTCATCATCATCAGGTAATTCGAACATCTGCCCGCTCTCTGTACCGTTCTGATGCGTGGAGGGGTTGCTGGACGGCGCCGCGCCCTTCAGCCAAACAACCATCATGACCATGACGACCATCACGACCATCACGACAAGGCAGCGCGAGGACCACAGCTTGTCCTTGCTTCGATCTGGAAACTCTTTCGATTGCTTTGGTCGCAACCAAGCGCCACTGCGCTGCACCAGTGGGCAATGAAACATCGCCATGGGCTTCGATACTCCAGTGGATCGATGCTGTCGGTTCTGCACGTTTCTCAGTCTGCTGGGGTCCAACTCCACAAGTCCTTCGGGTGCAAAGTTGGCCTGGGCGCCGGTGTGGCAGGGGAGGCTTTGCTCGGACGTCTCGCAGATAGCCTGAAGCAGGCGATTGAAAATGTACGGCACATTGTACCGGGACACTGCACTGGCCTCTGCGTGGATTAAGCCATGCTCCCCTGCGAACGCCAGAGCTTCGTCGAAGTACACCTCCCGCATGGAAGGGTTCCTCTCCACCAAGTCGGCCTTGTTGCCGACGAGCATGATGACAATGTCAGGCGCAAGTTGCCTCAGCTCCTTAATCCACGTCGCACAGCTCTCGAATGTTCCTTTCTTGGTCACGTCGTAGACCAACAAAGCTCCAACCGATCTCCCATAGTGAGCACTGGCAATAGGGCGGTACCACTTTTCTCCTGCAGTGTCCCACAGCTGCACCTTCACCGCTTGCGTTGTACCAGCAACTTCCACATGAACGGTTTGCTCAGCAAATTGTACTCCAATCGTGGCCACAGCTTGCTCGGGCAGAGAGCCCGTGCTGTACCGAGACAGAAGATGGGTCTTCCCCACATCGCTGTCGCCGACAAGCACAATTTTCATGCCCCGAGGTATATTATCCTGAGCTTTGGCAGATTCTGTGGCCTCTCTGCCCAAGCAGCTGCTCAAAAGCTCTAGGCCTAAGTGAGCCTTTCTCTTGGCCTCCACCAATCGAATGGACTCGGGCAGAATCAGCCGGCTGCAGCTGCACCAAGCGAGTGAACCTACCTCCCTGGCTATGGATGGAACCACCAATTTGAGGCTGCCTGCCACTAGTAGAAACTGTGGGGACATTGGCATCCCAGTGGTGACACATGGCGCTGACGGAGGCAGCACCCGGCATCACATAGGGAGACGAGGAGTAGATGACCTCTGGTGTACCAGTCTGCACAGGGTAGGTGGTGTTGATCGGAATGCCAGTGCCCGTCTGAACCGCCCAAGAGGTCACCGGGTCAGGACCAGCCGTCAGTGGCATGGGCTTCGTCACGCCTTCATCGCCAGACGAGTCGGTGTCGGGAGTGTCGGGGAGAATGTCTCCACATGAATCATTGGAATCAGTCTCCTCCTGCACAGGATTGATGCGCGGTCGAGCCAATATATGTATACATATATATATATATATATTCTGCTATGTATATATATATATATACATATTCCGCTACAGGATGCTTTCAGGTGTAAAATGTGATCAACCAATCTCCGCAATCACCAGGATCATCTTCTTTGGTGCCTAGTGGGAGCTCTCAAAGAATAACCCAAGAGTGTGGGCCCCTGCGACTGGAAAAACGCCCCGTATCCCAACGTTTCCTCATCAGTTGGTTATGGTATGGCTTACAATTATGAACTGCCCAAAATGAAGATCTTATGATTGAAAAACTGGTGGCAACAATTCCCAAAATCACCAGCCAATTTGTTCCATTAGCAGCTCATTAGCACCCCAGTTTTGCAGCTACCCCTAAGGCCTGGAGTCGCCAATGCTCCTCGGGGATGTGGCGCAAACCATGCCAAATCTCAGCTGCAAAGTCCTCTTGGGCTCCAGGGGTCAAGGGTTTCAAAACATGTTTCAACCACGCGGAAAAATTCTGGACTTTTCCTGCTCAAAGAAAGGTGACTGAAAGGTGGATGATTTTGGATGATTTTGGGCCCCGATTTTTTTATTGGGACCTCCGACATGGACCGGTCACTGGTTGATGTCCAATGACAGTGCAATGAGAACTTGACTTGCGACCAACTCTGCAGGTCCTTATCCTGCTTCCACTCATCATCCAGGCCGGTGAGGAAAGCAATTTCTGCAGGAAGATAGACCTGCAGAAAATCCCGGCAACAGCGTCACCGTGATGGATTGGCTACTGGAAAAATCATCCAGGTGGTCTTATAAAACATCATCCAAAAAAGATCGAGAAAAGACCAGCTACAAAGAGCCCGCTTCACAATATAAAATTGACCACAAAAAGTGCACAACTACCCAGTCAATTCGACCACAAGACAAAGCACCAGAAAAGGCACAATCCACGACTTCACCAATCTGCCGCCTCCTGCTTCGCACGGAAGGGACAATACAACATGGGCTGCTTCCGCTGCAACGTGATGCCATGTCGCCGCAGAAAATACTCCTTTGTGGCGATGCCATGTGCAGTCGGCTGCCGAGAGTCGGCCACTTGGATCCAGCTTGGGAAATCGGATTCAAGAATCAGCCCCATTGCCATTGGTCCATGATTCAGCCAAGGGGCCAGGTAGGTGATCTCACCATCTTCAAAGGGAAAGGATGCACTTGGATCCATGTCCTCAACCGAAGCTTGGCCGCCAGCAATTTGGATTTCACTGGCTGGACGATGCTTCAACCCCCTTGAAGTAACTACTGTAGGGGATGTGTTTATCAATCTTCACGTTTTGTCAGGCACCATCAGCCATCTGATCCAATAGAAGTTTCGTCAAGATGCGATGCAGACCTTTTGGATCTTGTAGTGAATCTGGTTGTGTCGGCTCATGCAGGTACGTCCCACCATGCGCTTCTGCAAAAAGGCGTCCATTTCCACCTCAAACTTGCGACGGAAGAGCGAAACTCTTCCAGATGGGAATGGGGAAATGGGGGAAGATCCGAAATAACATGTGAGAATTTAAAGTTTAAAACTAAAAAGAGACCGGCCATTGAGTTCATTGGTGTCGAAATTTGACCCTGGCCAAAATGGTGACTTTTTCTAGTCACGCAGGCTGCCTTGAAGAAAAGCGTTGTATCTTGCCAACTCACTATTCATGACTGGCCCATCAAACACGATTCAAAGAAGCAAATCCCACAGACACTCTGGTAATTTACCAGTTTGCCAACTGGAAAATCATGGAAAAGCACCATGATGGGCCATCCACCTTGCTGGGCATCGGCAGATTTTGATCCCGGTGGTGCTGAATCAGCAGATCTCGGAAGAAGTTCAGCCGTGCCAAGGCCTCGGTTTGGGATTGAAAATGGTTGGATGAAATATGTCAATTCACATCAAGTCATATCAATATGTATGTATATATGTATGTATGTATGTATGTATGTATCTATCTATCTATCTGTCTATCTATCTATCTATCTATCTATCTATCTATCTATCTATCTATCTATCTATCTAATCTATCTATCTATCTATATAATATATATATATATGTTATATATCATGTATATATAATGTGTATATATAATGTATATATATAATGTATATATATATATATAATGTATATATATAATGTATATATAATGTATATATATAATGTATATATATCATGTATATATAATGTATATATATATAATGTATATATATAATGCGACTATATATAATGTGTATATATATAATGTGTATATATAATGTATATATATAATGTATATATATAATGTATATATATAATGTATATATATAATATGTGCGTATATAATATCAATGTGTACCAATCCTACAGCAATTATAATAGTTTAGAATTTTATAATCCAATGATGCCAATCCATACAATATACTCATGTTATATACAATATACATGTATCAATTGTGATAATGTATGATGACAATTGTTTATTCCAGTAATACCCAACTGCTGCTTTTTCAATTTTCGCTGGATTGAATCTCTCCTATTGAAATTTCTTAGATGTAAATCGGCCATGAGCCAGAGATCCAACAAGACCCACAACCAATGCTGAGACCCACAACCATATGGCAGCATTTGCCCATGCAATCTGTTTATCCTACGCAAATTTCATAGAAACATGTAGAAAACAAACCCATGCCCAAACTCATTCTGTGATCTCCTACCTATCCCAGTCCCATGTGTGACTCACGTGCTACATCGTGCTACCCACTGAGACTTCGGACAGTCTGGCTCTGAATCAACCGCACTGAAATGTCCACCTCGTGGCCGTGCAAAGTAGCTGGAAGCTGCCAAGGCTCCCAAGGCTCCCATCATTCACCACAAGGTTCCATTGGTGACACCCACCCCAAGGGTCACCAAAAAAGACCAAAAATGGCAGGTCCAGGCCGCCTTCAAACAAGGGCCCGCTCGCACATACACACTCGATGCCAGGAATCCTCTGTTGCTTCAGCTCCGGCATCGCTGGTTGTCACAGATTTCTCACAATGCGTCTGTTGGCCCACTTGAAACAAATCTCCCCAAGAACCCCAGAGTGACATCAAAATGGAAGGAGACACGTCAAATATGTCAAGCCATTGAGCACTCCAAAAGTGGATAGTTTCATTGCAAAAAGAAAAAACGACGTGTGACCTTGCACATTCCACAACTTTGACAGGTCCTTTGTAGAGGAAGACCCGTGGCGATGTATTTCGGTCCTCAGCCAGGATGTTGCATTTCAGAACATTGGCACAGGAAGAATACCTGGCATTCTGCAAAAGATATTTGGAGGTACAGGACTTGACTTTGACACACACCTCTATGATCTGTCAAAAAAAAATGCCAACATCCTATCTAACCTGAGCTTTCAAAAGCCAGTCATACAGGATCCATGGCCAGCCACCGTTGGGGATTTCGACGAGCGTCTCAGGACGCGACTCTGAGTCTAACTATATAAATGCGCACGAGTTAGACTTGGGGACCCAAAGACTTGGATGCTCCGAATGTACAAAATGACAAGAATCTCTGTTTCCAATGGGTCTTAACGCTTGCCTTGTTTGTGGCCAGCCCAGCGCCTGTGCCGAGGATCGGGTCCGAAAGTCAAGGTCCGGCCCTCATCAGCCAGGTACCATCCGCATCCACCTGATCTCCACACCGCAAAATTCAGCAATACCTGGTGGTTCAATGTGGTTCACCTCAGCAACTGGGGTGTAATAGTTGTAAGATGTTGTAAGTAGGGTACGTATAAGGTATAGATAGGTAGAGCAAGGTTAGGATGGCAGGTCACCACTGAGAAATCACGAAAATTCGGCACCAGGTCACCACGCCTAGAGTTCGGAGCTGCATTTGACGATAGACGCGTTCGAAGATCCAGCTAAAGCACTGCAATGCCACACTGCGCTCCTTTCACACTGGGTCAGGCCACACATGGATTGGCTGAATTCGGACTTCAGCACCCAATCTCCTAGGATATCCAAGTTTGGTTCGGAACCTATCTTGTCAGTTGATATCATGACCTGTTTGGGTTTGATGCCAATCAGCTTCATACACTTGCAGTTCCTCTGGTGACTGGAAAACAAGAGCTACTGGGAGCGCACCTTAGTGCGAGCAAATCAGACAAAATCCATCCAAAAAGCAAACGGAACTTTGTATATCTTTGTTTAGGTGATAAGCCCTTTGGTACTACCTCAACCAGACTTGGGTGTCCTCGACTGGAAGTTCTGGAATGCCCTCCACGCCTCGGCTGTGTTGTTTCAGCGGCCGTTCGCCCATGTCTGGTCTATCCATAAGACAATAGATCCAAAAAAAAACATACGCATGCAGAATTCTGGGTGTCCTTAGGACTTAAGACCTTGAGAATTGGGAACAAGTCCAGTCAAGATGGTCAACTACTGTCAACAATTATGCAGCTCAGCTACAATCCACCAGCACCGTCTTGGTGCTTTCAATCTCCAGTCTGTAGCGGCGTAAGCCATGCTGCAAGGGCACTGAGACGAAGAAGGACTCAGCACCATAAGGCACCGAAAGGAAGGGGGTGGTGGGCACACGTGAAACTGTTGAAACATCCCAAGTTTGTGGGTCAACTAGGCCACAAAACATGTCATGTCACGATTGCTTGTGATATCACAAGTGCCTGCCGATTTTGCAACGTTTCTTGAAGATCGGCATGTCTGAAACACGGAGCACTCAGTCCCTTATTTTCTACCAGGAATGTACAAACCTTACATTTTGATCATTTTGTGTTTCTTGAGGCTATTGAGGTTTTGCACAACTCCATACCTTGTTTATTCTTGTTTCATGTCTTAGTGCACGTTTCCGTTTCAATCTGTTTTGTCCAAAAGTTGTCTTCAATGGAACATCACTGCGGTCCCCACCAGAATACCCTCATTGTCCACTGTGCCACCCTCACATCTGAGGGAAGACCTAAGCTCACCAGGTCGAAACTGTCCCACGTCCTCCTATGTGCCATTGGTAAAAGCATGGTATATGGGGTATGGTCATGCCACCTTCAGAGATTCCTCATAATGGGAATATTAACCCCTCCCTACTGATGGTCAATCTACCCTGTTTTGACCATGGCATATGTGTTGATTCAAAGAATTACCAAAAACTACACCACATATACTGCAATTCACCACAAAGATCTTGAATCATATTTTACATATATGAATTTATGTATACATATATATATATATACACAGTTCCTTTTTATTCCGACCCAACTTGTTGACGGTTGATTTTGTTAAATTGTTTTCCAAATTGCTCTTGCGCAGTTAATTCTATGAGAGAGGGGGTGCCACTTGAATCCATGCAAAGCAATTGTGTATCATTTCATTTTCTGAAAATGTGCATCACCAAAGTCACCAAAGTTCCTGAAACAACGCTTTCTTTCGAATCGAAAATGCTGGCATGTGTGGGGCAAAACCCATCTAGGTAATCATTTCCTCCATTACTCCATCCCAAATGATCAAAGAGGATTCGGCCAAAACTGATCCAATACCTGTAGTACCTTTCTCAAGCCAAACTTGTCCGCTGGGTGTCAAACCCTTCGCCCATCTCCAAGCGTCCAGCGGGTTCATCTTGACCTTTCATCAAGTTCAGCTGTCCCAACATGGCCCAAAGCTTGTTGAGTGATTGGGATGATTTGCTGGGAATTCCTGTTTGGGGTAGTTGAATATGGATCATGGGTCATTCCCCAACCATTAGGTATATGGTCTATAATGGCTACTATAAGGTGATGTCCAATATACCCAAAAAGGGACATTTACCAACCCCTGTGGATAAATTTGGTAAATTCACCCAAACCGCTGGCAAATCCCAGTTTGGGTGAGGTTCTGCACCCAAGCTGTGCTGTGGAGGCACCCAGCCAGAGACTAGTCCCCCCATTCATGATTTCACTGTCTAGTGAAGGTCAATAGGGTGAGATAACATCTTGTTTTCCACCGAAGACAAACAGCATTCTAAACCCAGAAGTTCTCGAACTTATATAGATACCGCTTCTCACCGTTGCTCTTCGTGTCCCATCCCAAAAAAAACATGTTGATTGGTTTTGTGCGTCTCTAATATTTGGAATACAGCTTACCCAAGTTAGTTTTTTTGAGTCATCACCGTCAGATTCTGCCAATTCTCGCACTTTTGGGTCCACAGACTTGGGAGTTTGTTGATAGTATATACTGAGGTTCTGTCGGTTGGCTTTGAATTCTCTTGCTGACACCGCAACTCGTTTCTGGGATATGTCTCGCCCGTGACACCAGTATCGTCATGGGTTTGCCCTCTAAAAACTCTAACATGGCAATCAGGCATCCACATTGTTTCAATTGGAAATCATCTATCAGATGCACATGGATATATTTGGATACATTATATTACATATCATATTCATTTCATATGAAAAGTCATTGGGAAAAATGGGAAAATGAGGAGATTCCCAATGACTCTTCATATTTCATCCATTTTCGTTTGGGTCCCCAAACTCCATCCCTCCATCCCAGGCACCTGGGCCACGCGACTGGACCCAAAGATGCCTTGTTCAATGGATTTTCTTGGGCTTCAACAATCCAATTTCTGGGGGTATATCATGATATGTCATATTTATTCATTTACCCTCTGGTAATTTAACATAGCTATTGAAAATCACCATTTTTAATGGGAAAATCCACTATAAATGGCCATTTTCAATAGCTATGTTAAATTACCAGAGGGTATTTTGTAATGATGTGATGTTCCTCCAAAATGTTGGGGGTGCAATGGATGGACCTGGCTAGATCTGACGAGCCACTAATGACGTACTTGTGGACCACCCCCTTTCTGGCAATACGTTTGACCCATATCTCAATTGGTTTCATCCCCAAGAGGGCATCTAGAGCCACCTTGGAAGAAAGGATTCCTCGTAAGAACTTGCAAAATTCGACAGGGGCTAGGCGGCTAGGTGTTGCTCTTTTTGTGCCAGCTGGCTGTCCAGTGTGCAGCGTCATCACTTCACCCTCGGGGATTCGAAGTACTTCTCCTCGACAAACCTGTCGGAATCGCAACTTGCAAACCACTGATGGCTCTCACTGAGAACCGCCAGTGAAATGGCTCCAAAGAGGGGATCAATATGGTCCATAAATATAGCATTCTGAATTCTGAAGCTCAATCCTTGCTTTGAAGGACTTCTATTGGAACACTGTGCACTTACTGTAGCGCCTGAGGCCCGCCCTGGCCCCGGCCTCCCACTGTCGTGCTCGGAGCTGGTCAACGGTCACCGTTTTGGGACCCCAGTGTCCCAGATCTTCGCAGAAGAAGCTGCCAGGTGCATAGAGGTCCTCAGGTCAGAGGTGAACCTTACCATGACGTCATAAACGGTCCCAATTGGGTCATAGCGTGGGAAGTAAAACATAGTGATTGGGGCCACGCTCCCATGGGACCTTGCACCCTTTCGGGCATGTTCACATCATTGGGTATCTCAGTGGACCCAAGATCCTCAACCAGCAGAGAGCTGAAGGTTGTAGATGCACACCTCAACTTTCTCCAAGGTTCCACTTCAATTCCTTTCTCCGTGATGGCCCGCACAACACATGGAAGCCTAAGCTGCCACATGAAGCAAGGGGCGGCGAGCACTGCATGGCAGAGAAAAATCTGAGATTCCACTAAAATTATGGTCTAAATACCATTGCCTTCAAGTAGAAAAATATGTTTTCTCTCCATACTTCAGAATTCCTTGCATCCGATGATTCCAGCAACATGGTTTCCCTGAAAGCCATGATCGGCTGAGAAGTTCCCATGGGAGTGCGAAACGGTGAAGCAATCGGCCAAGATGCCAGTCGTCCACCTGCACTTCGTAGCGATCAAGGTCATTGATCACCAGTTCCTGTGAACTCCAAGAAGGAATCAAAAAATTGATGCCGCAAATCATGGCTAATCTTAGACCAAAAAAACACAATATTACTATCCATTCAAAATTTTCCCCAGAAAATGATGGATGCTGAATGTGGAATGAACATAAACATGAATTTAATGCTCAAAACGGACGTTTCAAAGCGGATCAACAGTATGAAACTGTGTGGAAGGTTGGCAGGTTGCTGCTGTGGAATGTTTCGGGAAATTTGACACGATAAAGGACTTGGTCCAGGTTGATTTGAGTCCTGTGGTTTTTTTCACCGCAGCAAATGTTTTTGTACGGAACACAACCTGGAACTTGTGGCAGATGAGATGTCGAAATAAACCGCAAAGCATTGAACCCCAACGATGAACACAACCATACCATGATTTTATGACTGTTTGATTGTTTTTATCGCTCGGCATGGTTGACCGGCTGACATATGAAACTGAATTGTTCGGGACTGCTACTGCAGATGACCGATGGCCATTGGGGGAAATGGATCAGCCTTATTCATTCCCACCGGGTGTCAAAAAAAACACAAGTGGCACGATGCATTAACTGAGAATCACGGCATATCCAAAAAAATATCCAACGCAACCTCAACTGAAACCTCATGAATACCATGTCCATCTATAGTTTCTAGCGTTTCTCACCCGCCCAGAACCCAAATCAAAACCACACTTGAAAACGAAAAGACAAGCAGAACATATGTAAAAACAGGGGACAGGAGAACCCAAAAATGAAAACGCCAGCAATCAAACCGGAATCAAACACCCAACCAGTGTGGATAAAACCACGATGACGCTTCATGATTGGTTGGCGGCACCTCCTTCCTCACCCCCTTGCCACCAACTATAAAAATCTGAGGTCATGGATGCGCGGTTGCAAGCTCCGCACGCCGTCGTTCTCCGTGCGTCGACGCTCGCTTTCATTCTCCATCCGTTCGCGCTCACTCATGCCCACCAGCCGACATGGAGCCCACATGTCTACCAGCCCATATCCCAACCCGTCGACTCCTTCCCGTCCACACTTTCTGTTTTTTTTCCCCTCCACTCCCTGGCGTCCACACTGCCTGGTCGTCCACAGTCCACAATTTTTGCTCGTCCGCGCTCAAAACAGCCACCAGCCAGCCACCACCAGGCCACATCCCCATCCACTTCCGTCCGCCCAGCTACAAAATTGAGAGGACCAACCGGAATACTTCAAAATGATTGCAAGGAGACAAAACAAATTGTGAAAACCCACACCTTTTTTGGTTTTTGTAATTTTGCCCACGGTTCATGTAAATTTGAATTCATCATCTTGTTGTTTCTACATTTTTTCCTGTCACACTAGTCACTAGTCTACATACATGCAATCCCCACTTTGGGAAGTTTAAGTCAACTTTAGGAAAATTTTGGGCCTGCAAGCACTGGAAAATAAAAAATATGTTGTCATGTTTTGTTTGTTTGTCATTCAAGTTGTGATTTTAGATTTGCATCTGCAGTGTCATTCTATTGCATTTTTCTCATTTCTTTGTCAGTTTATTGTCATTTTGGTTTGGGACGTGTTAAAAAATCTTAAAAAGTGCCTTCCAAGTTTGAAAATGCAGAAAAAAGACGCGCGCTTGTGTCAACAGCAGTTGTCTGCGTGGTTTCAAGACGGATGAAGGGGCAAATCTCCCTCAGCGTCTGCTGCGTGCACGTTGGCTTCTGCTTGCAGCATCTGCTCAATGACAGTTGGAAGGCCTGCAAACCAAATACAAGGCTGTGCCGCCGAAATCAAACCTGTCATCTACGTTGGCACGTGCTTCGATCAAAGCCGTTGCAGCGGCTACATTTTTGCGATTGAGAGCCGCACACAGGGCCGCAAGCCGCACTCGTCTGCACTCGGAAAATTTGGGCACTGTCCCTCCACCAGACAACCCACAACACCTGCAACGCTAGAATCAGAAATTTCGTCGAACAATTGCGCCACGAGATCTGTTCGTTCCGGGATGCAAGCAACCACAACATCAACCGTCGTTCTTAACACCAAACCTGCTGCAGTTGCGGCAACACTTCCAGGGGAGAAGCGAGCCTTGAAGCGAAACGGAGAGGAATGCAGAAAGGAAGCGATATAGCGCAGAACGTGCGCGTGTATATGACGATCTTGCACGCGACGAAAAAGGTTGCAAGAGTAGAGCCGGAAAGTGCCCAACGGATGTCAAATTGGATCGGCACCGTTGGATCCAGGTAACCAGGCAAAACTCGGTTTGGCTGAGGGCGAAACAGGTGCAAGAGCCACCATAGACATCAACGACTGAAGGCAGACAGGCACCGCGACACACATCATAGTAGTCATGTTGGGGGCGTAGTGCCTTGTTTGTGGTAAGCGAAGTGCAGGAGAGGTAAAAGCCGGAAACCATCTGGTCATCGTTAGAAGCAACAAGCTGCAGAAGAGCAAGACTGAAACGGCAACCTTCTGATGCCAAGTGCAGAGGTGCATCATGGAATTTGATTGGCGCCATGCAGGCAAAAGAGCCGCCGCTGAGAACATCAAAATACAGAAGCAGCTCGCTCAAAGAGGTGCCTTGGGAAAGGCGCGGCTGTGTTGGACGCACCGGTTGACGGATGCCGTTCGCGCACAAAGCTGGACATGATGGCAGATGTTGCGATGGTGAAAGCAGGCCAACAAAGCAGCTGAGAGGCAGATCCACGGGCAATCGGTCACAGTGCCATCGCAGCAGCAGAGTTCCGTTGGCAGAAAAGATGCAGCAGTTTTGGGCTTGCTGCTGGCACACGAAGGCCCTGCTTCAGGCACGCCCATATTGGATTGGAGGATCACACCACGATTAGTGAGTTTTAATTTACCAACCACCTGGGTCGCTAACATGGGCTGAAGGAGTACCTGACACCAGCTGGGTTTCAATTACTCCTTGCGCCACAATGTTGATCAGCCGATCTTTACTAAACTTCAGTCAGTCCGTTGAGCCGAGGAAGGGAGAGACATGGATTTGTCTGGAAAAAGTCAGTTAGGAACCGAAGGACAATAGTAAATCACAACCCGTTCATGGAAAGCGGGGTACGGGGGTGGGGGGATGAGTAGACAAGTTTCAACATTGCCTAAGAAGCAAGGCAAAGCGCCAGCTCATGTTATTCGGGGAAAACCAGATACAAGAAACAAAAAAAATCCAACAAATCACAACACTGGCAACCTGTTGGGTGGGGAGTTGGGAGGAAGAACACAAGTTGGAGGAGTACCTAAGGAGCAAGGCACCGGCAAACGGCAGGATTGCTGAAGGACAAGCAAACCAAAAAAAGAACATCACTGCCCTTCACGGCCTCAACGTCGGAAAAAAGATTGCGAAGTCTGATCAGGATCCTTCGAATCGGATGATGTCCCTTCCTTTGGAGAACATAGTTGGTCAAAGGATCTATATCCATCGCCTCGGTGGTAAAACCCATTGAACCCAGTCATTGATGTAGACCCTCTGCGACATGCAATCTCTGCGCTCGCACATATCCCCATTTCTCTCCACTCCCGTCATCGCTCATGCCCACCAGCCCATATCCCCCTCGCTCACACCCACCATCCCTACCCCTTTCCGTCCCCACTTTCAGTTCCCTTCTTGTCCCTTTCCCCCCCCATTCCCCTCCCGTCCTTCCCTGACTTTCCAATTCCCTTCCTGCCTTTACTTTCTAATTCCCTTCCATCTTTACCTTCCGTCCACAGTCTTCCTTCAACCGTGCTCACTCCCCACACAGTTTCCAGACTAAACAAGAACCCAAGCATCGAAGATGCTTTTGGGAAAAACTTGAATCCCCATTGGAACCACGTCCATCATCAGTTTTCACCCAACTCCAACTCCAACCAGCGCCTCAATCTGCAGCCGCCCGGCGTCAGCCACCGCCGGGCCCGGGGCTGTGTTGCCCGGCCGCTCGCAGCAGAGCCCCGCAGCACAGTCGCCGCCAAACTCCAAAGTCGTGACCTATGCTCCCCAAAAAGTGAAGCCGATGGAGATGTAAGTTTTTGCTGAGAATAAACTAGTAATAACATCTAGAAACTGACAGGTTCATGGATAATAAATAAAGATGATGGCTGTTTCTGATAGTAGAAAAATAATCTATGATATTGGGTGATAGTGGGGCAGAAAAACGAGTGAACTGCTGCTAACATGTGCCAAGATCGACCGGAAGCAAGAAGAATGGTGTTTCTGGCAAGCCCAGGGGTGGAACGCAAGAAACCTGGGAAAAAATGGTAAAACAGGGGAACTGGGACAAGACAGGTTGGAGGTCAGGTGGGAGGCTGTTATGTTTTTGTTCAATGTTGTAAATCTAAATGTTTGACTGTTTCTTTCTGTTAATCTTGCTAAATGTTTCGTCGGAGTTGTTTGATTAATGTTTGGTTTGGATGAGGGTAGGGTATGTTGAGGTTGTTGTGGTTGTACTGTATGGGATAGTGTCCATTAATGTTCATTTGATGTTTGATGCTTTCTTCGTGTCGTTTCATTGTATATTTTCTTACTTCACATTTACAAATTGGACATTCCAACGTTTCTTTCTTTTTATCACTTAATTCTTCCTTTTTCCTTTCGTAGTATTGTTGAGCATATTGTTTTAAAGTTTCTTTGTGCTGTTCCCTGTATCTGCGTTTGTGTTCTAAACATTTATTACACTGCTTACATTCATTTTTGTAGTAGTCTAACGGTTGAAAGACTTTACATTTAGAACACTGCTTTTTGTCAGTCATTATACCTCTACAATTTTAAGGGGTTATGTCTTTAAGGGGTTTTTAGGGTGGATTACATCATAATATATTTTATTAAGATATTATGAACTAATCGTTAGGTTTAGTGTCTCCACTTTTCATCACCACTACCTATTCCATCCTAACATTGAGAAACAATCGTTTTGATGTTGTAGAACACCAAAATGATTGTGTCTCTATCAAGTCCTCGTTGGTCAATCAAGTATCCCAACACTGACAATAGTGTATAATAGTTTTGTTGTAATGCTGTCATTCCTCCTCTATGGTGTATCCTCTCAGCGTGTTTTTTGATTAAATCTTTATCAAATATGTTTTCATAAATTTCTTTCATAAGGTCGTGGTTTATCTCTCCATACTCTGCGTATTGCTCTAAAGATTGTTTTTGCTTAAGCAGTAGGTCATATTCTATAAAGTTATAATCAGGATAAGGATTCTCTTTTATGAAATTCATTAATCTTTCTCTATCTCTTTTTAGTTCCTCTTCACTAACTCCAATCATTGGCATTTTTCACTTACTATATATAGGTATTTTTTCTTTAAGTATCCATCACTTTTTGTAGGTGTTGTTTATTTCATCTTGATTAATGTAATGCTCATAGTGTTTGAATAATTCTTTAGTATATTCACGCAAGAAAAGCTTGAATAGGTTTTTTTTGATCTGAAATCTATATTTCTAAATTCATAATAACGGTTTAAGCTAGGAAACATCCAAGAATTCTTTATTGCTTTTATATTGTGAAGGTCTTCAAGCATTTGATATGTATGTCCCAAGTTTCTCTTTACATAAGATTTAGTCGCTTGAAGACATATGCCTTTCTTCAGTGTAGGACTTTTCATCAATATGTCTATTTCTCTTCTCATTTGTCGGTCATTCACATTATCAGACAAATCTATTGGCGATGCTTCCATCCTTGTTTTAAAGACATATATTTGTTTTTCTGCTACTGAATTGATTTCTTTATCTTCAAAGTAGTCTTGATTGTATGTTATATATCTATACTCCTTTTCTCTCAAGTCTTTACATTTTGAACAGTGAAGATTATAACTACATATCTCATCACAAATTCCAGCCGGAAAAATGTTGTTCAATAAAACCTTAATGTCAGTCATTTCTTTCTTACAACATCCGCAGTTTTTATAAGTAAATAGCATCCTCTTACTATATATAGTCATTTTTTCTTTAAGTAGTTTTTGGGGGCTCGTTCAGTTTTTGGGTTCGGGTTGGTTTTTGTTTTCCCTTTCCTCCTCTTCCAGTTCCTTTATAACCATATCAATTTCACTCATTTCTTCATTGGGGTCTTGTCCATTGGCGAGGTTTCTTAACCTCTCAAAATCCTTCACTTTGTGTCTTTCATTGGGTGGGAGGGTTTTGAGATGTTCCTTCAACTCTGTCAGGTCAAAGTATGTGTCGTGTTCTTCATCCTCATAGTTCATAAACATTTCCATTCGTTGCTTTTCCATTTCCATAAGTTTGTTTTCCATCTGTTGGAATTTCATTTGCTTCTTGTAGCACTTGCCACAAACATTCACGAAGGTTTTGAGCAAGTAGTTCCAATTAGGTTGGTTTCTATCGTTCAGGGTTATCAGTTATAACATCTGTCATTATACGACATCCACAGTCAAATTTAGTCATCTTATTTGCTCTTACTATATATATAGGTATTTTTTCTTTAAGTATATTTTTTATTGTTGGTAATTTTAAAAATCTAATATTATAATATATGGCAAGGAGACTATCAAGAGATGACATCATAAGCAATGTCTATTACAATCTTGAAACGGGCTTTGGCTCAATTAATGAGACCCTCAAGAAAGCCAAGGAACAAGACCCGACCATCAACAAGGTGGATGTGGAAAACTTTATGAGGAAACAACCCAACAAACAGATTAGAAAATACAGAGGTTCAAACTCCTACACCGCACCGTTCGCAAGGTTTGAATATCAGATTGACACAATGGATATGAAACCCCTTACAAAAGAACCAGAGGTTGAAGTTCCAATCAAGAACAGTGAGCCGAGATACGGGTTGGTGGTCATTGACATCTTCAGCAAGTTGGCAAACGTCGTCCCTATGAAAGAAAAATCCGGACCAATCACATTGTCGGCGATGAAAGAGAGTTTCAACAAAATGGGTTTTCCGATGTCCGTTTATAGCGATAATGCCTTCCAAGCGGGAGTTAAAGACTTTTTTTGAGAAAGAAGGCATCACTCACGTCGTCACCCTAACTCACGCCAATATTGTGGAGCGTTTCATCAGGACAATGAAGAATATGATACACGACAGGGTCAGGTTCAACCGTGGCAGTTGGACTGTTATGTTGTCCAAAGCATTGGATAAATACAACGACACCGTCCATTCATCCACGAAAATGAAACCCAAGGATGCCCACGATGACAAAAACCATATGGATGTCAGGGTTAATTTGACAAGGAGGGAAAAGAACACTCGCAAATATCCAGAGGTCAAAGTGAATGATATGGTTAAGGTCTTTGAGAAGAAAAAAGACAACTACACCGAGAGGAAGGAGTATAACTCAAAATGGAGCAATCAATCCTACAAAATCGTCAAGATAGAATACGATGATGTCGGAAACAGAACCTTCAAACTGGAAGGATTGAACAAACCGTATTTGAGGCACGAGATTTTGAAAGTATAAAAAATTATCTATAATATTAATTTATGACAGAGGTAGTCGTAAAAGAGATAGATTATCAAGAACACAAGGAAGAACCAATACCAGAGCCAATATAGGAAGAAGCACCGAAGGATGAGGAGAAACCAGAAGAAATAATTGAACCACCAGTTCAAGAGAAACCGCAACCAGCAACGGTAGTCCCAAAACCCAAAAGGGTAAGACCGTCAAGGGCGAAACCACCTTTTGACCCAGAGGCATTCAAAAACGACCTTGTAAAGCAACTGAAGGAAGAACTACAGAGTGCAATGACCGCCAGAGACACCTACAACAAAGCCAAAGAGGAAAAAGAACAAAGCGACGAGAGAGAAATTGAAGTCTTTAGCATCAAAAATTTTGTAAAGTATTATATATGAAAATGAACATCAAGGAACAGAAAACGGAACTCAACAAAACAGACATCTACGAAAACGTCCGCAAGGACATCAACAGAAGACAAACCGTCCATTCAAACAAAAGTGCCAACTACAGGAGCGGAACGCCCGAAATGCCAGACAGAAGAAAAAAAGTGTATAGTAGTTATGACCACTACTACCACAACGACAGCAACACGGCAAGGATGCCAACTCACAACCATCATCTTTACCTAAAGCGTCTTCTTGAATATCACAACACCGAGCACGACTACAAGGTCTTACAGGTCAAGCAGAGGATGAAGGAAGAGAATGGGATGCTACAGAACGAAATGACAAGGTTGAGGGAGGTGAGGAAAAATCACAGATTGGAAGATTACGGGGCGAACGTCCAGAATATGAAACTCAAACATCGGTTCAGTCAATTTGTGCCAAACTGGCTTTGGTATTGAAGGATGCTTGACATGCAAAACCAAACAGGAACCACAGCGCCTAACCTCAATCAATACATGAATTTGAAGCGAATAATTCGACATCTTTGAACAACAGCTTGTTTGAATTTGAACCTGAACCTACACATAGAAACTCTGACCACCTCAACAATTATCCCCTTCATTCAATCCAAACATTATCACAACAACCTCAACAACACATTTAGCAAGATAATCAAAAAGAAACAGTCAAACATTTCAGATTACAAGATTGAACAAAAACATAACACCCGCCCAACTGACCTACAACCTGTCCTGTCCTAGTTTCCCTGTTTTACCATTTTTTTCTGGGATGATTCCATGCTACAGGCATTGCAACATCCGGAGCCTTTTGCCTTGCACCGGAATCCTCTGAAACAAGGAATGATGATCTTTGCCATTGTGCTCTGGCTCCAACCATCCGAATTTCGATAAAATCTGGGGAGCCGGACACCAAGAGCATCTTTGATTGCTTGCTGCTTTTTCCTTAGCTTCACTCTTTACAGAGAAGCCGATGTGAGATGGTCCAAGCTGACGAATTAGTGAGGCTCGAACTTTTGCTAGAGCCCTGAGGAATCTCTCTGGCGAGAACCAAGTGAACAACTTGGCTCGACAACCAGGATTTATAAATCTCATCCGCTAGAAATGTTATCGTCCCAGGCGCAAACGTCGTGGCACGTCGAAAATGGTTCGCTTCAGCTCAGTTTCCTCCCTGGGAAGCATGGGCTGCTGAGCCTCCACAGCAAAAGCATGAGACAATGGTTATCTGCTGGTTGATTTTGTTTGGTTTTTGGGTGATTGGTTGTTTGGTTTCTTGTAGCCATTGCAGGGTATAAACGAGCAACAAACCTGTGTGGTGTAGGCCCAACCACTTTCAAGTCATCCAGTCTGGCACAGGTCAAGAACTTACCTGGGTGTAATTCCTTACACCACTAGAACCCGGCAAATGTGCAGTCATCCGAAAGTGCTACGCTTATCACTACCCATCTGACAGGTGCAAGTTACAGTAAATGAAAACTGTTTTCAGCTGGAATGAAAAACTGCCTACCATAGGGTATTGGCTTTTCTGTCGTCACTGGTCTACTCATTTCCATGGGGTCTGAAAATACGCCAGCGCCTCAGCATCGTAGAAGGTGCAATGGAAGATGCTGATTCGAAGGTGCCTCATGCCAGCATCAAGTACTAAGCTGTAACTTGGCCGCGAGTTGTGGTGGTTCTCTGAGTGGTAATGAGAAGGGTGAACGAGCATGTGAATGTTTATTGAGTTTAATGTTGATATCATATCTGATTGCTACATGTGTTTGTTGTTCTATCATGTCATCATGTTGACAGCAACGTCCACTTTGCTTTCACTACTTCACAGATGGATACCAAGGTGCCGATCGGTTGTCTCCACAAATTGAATCCTTAGCGACCACGCGGGTGGTCATTTGGAACCCACGGATGCACGGACTGCTTACACATCGTTCATCGGAACGAGAATCCTCAAGAAACAATTGAACACTTAAGTTTACCTTTCATGGACCAACTTAACGCAAGACCAACCTACTGGGAGTTTACTGTTGTGAATTTTGGATAATTTTGGCACGTACACACACTTTTTGGACCTACACAGCATTCAGCGGAGTAGCCAGCCCCAGGATGATTGTTTGAATAACTTAGTGATCCGCAGCTGGAGGTTCATCTATCATCCTCGTAATTCATTATCCCAGGCCCTCCCAATCAACTGGTAAAAAGTGTGCAAGAGAAAAACCAGCGATTGCGTGTCAGCGGATTGGTTTCAGGGAAACCAAAAAATGTTTCCGTGAATCCCCTTAAATACACAGGGACTTCCCGGCAGATTTTGAAAACTAAACGACGGATGGCGCGAGAGCGTAGAAGAGCATGTTACTCTCTTGTATGTAGTATCAAGGACATTGTAGGTGAAAGCTTCATTGAAGATGATGCAGATGATCAGCAGAAAGGAGATAGAAATGCTATGTCAGTTTCTAAGCAGAAGCAGACAAAGATAGACACAAATTTTGGGAGACCGACAGAGACAGACAGCAACGAAACACATACACACACAGACACACAAACAAAGATACAGACACAGACGCGCACACACACACACACTTGCACACACGGTACACAGACAGACACCACACGCACACACACACAAACAGAACACAAAGAGGAAGACACATACACGCACACACACACAGAGGCACAGACACACACGCACACAAAGAGGAAGACACATACACGCACACACACACACACAAGCACAGACACACACGCACACAAAGAGGAAGACACATGACAGACACGCAGACAGACACCAGGACACACACTCACAGCGAAGTCATCGTTGTCGTGGCCACCTCAGCAATCCGAAGGGGGATGAAGTTCGTGACCTAAACATGTTGCTGAGAAATGCTTCTAGGTCCAGGCAACTATAACGCAAATACGCAGAAGCAATCATCGGCTTTGTTCACCGTCGACTGTGCACGAGAAAGTCTCAGACAAATCTTATCTCAGACAAATCTTGTTTGGACATCAGAACGTATGAATCAGAGCAATCGGCCGCCAATGCCATGTTGTCATACAAAAAGTACCATTACCGTTTTACCTCAGTTTTCGACGATCGAACCTCATTTCGTGCGTAAGAGTTGCGCCGGACCCGTGAAAATCGCAATTTTACCTCAGTTTTTGGCGATCGAACCTCATTTCGTGCGAAAGGATTGCCGCCGAGGTTGTAAAATCGCAATTTCACCACAGCTTTTGGCGATCGAACCTCATTTCGTGCGAAAGGATTGCCGCCGAGGTTGTAAAATCGCAATTTCACCACAGCTTTTGGCGATCCAACCTCGTTTCGTGCGAAAGGGTTGCCGCCGAGGTTGTAAAATCACAATTTTACCCCAGTTTTTGGCGATCCAACTTCGTTTCGTGCGAAAGGGTTGCGTTTCATGCCGTCTCGTTGGCACTGCCCCGCGCCTTAAGAGAGAAATAGAAAAGAAGGAAAAAGAAGAGGGCAAGAGAGCAAGAGGGCAAGAGAGCAAGAGGGCAAGAGAGAATGTGAAGATGTGAAGATGCGAGGATGTGAGGATGTGAAGATGTGCGGATGTGAGGATGTGAAGATGTGAAGATGAGAAGATGTGAAGATGTGAAGATGAGATTTGAAGATGAGAAGATGTGAAGATGAGAAGATGACAAGATGTGAAGATGTGAGGATGTGAGGATGAGAAGATGTGAAGATGTGATTTGAAGATGAGAAGATGTGAAGATGAGAAAATGAGAAGATGTAAAGATGTGAAGATGTGAGGATGTGAAGATGTGAAGATGAGAAGATGCGAAGATGAGAAGATGCGAAGAGGAGAAGATGTGAAGATGAGAAGATGTGAAAATGAGAAGATGTGAAGATGAGAATGTGCGAAGATGAGAAGATGTGAAGATCAGAAGATGAGAAGATGTGAAGATGTGAGGATGTGAAGATGTGAAGATGAGAAGATGCGAAGATGAGAAGATGTGAAGATGAGATTTGAAGATGAGAAGATGTGAGGATGTGAGGATGTGAAGATGTGAAGATGAAAAGATGCGAAGATGAGAATGTGCGAAGATGAGAAGATGTGAAGATCAGAAGATGAGAAGATGTGAAGATGTGAGGATGTGAAGATGTGAAGATGAGAATGTGCGAAGATGAGAAGATGTGAAGATGAGATTTGAAGATGAGAAGATGTGAAGATGTGAGGATGTGAAGATGTGAAGATGTGAAGATGAGAAGATGCGAAGATGAGAAGATGTGAAGATGAGATTTGAAGATGAGAAGATGTGAAGATGAGAAGATGTGAAGATGAGAAGATGAGAAGATGTGAACATGTGAGGATGTGAGGATGAGAAGATGTGAAGATGTGATTTGAAGATGAGAAGATGTGAAGATGAGAATGTGCGAAGATGAGAAGATGTGAAGATCAGAAGATGAGAAGATGTGAAGATGTGAGGATGTGAAGATGTGAAGATGAGAAGATGAGCAAATGTGAAGATGAGAAGATGTGAAGATGTGAGGATGTGAAGATGTGAGGATGTGAGGATGAGAAGATGTGAGGATTTGAAGATGTGATGTGAAGATGTGAAGGTGTGAAAATGTTTGACAGACCTCCACTATTAGAAGAACCCTTCGCTCAGACGCTCTCGGGAAAAAAGGTTCCAGGAGGCTGTATTTCTTCCGAGTTTCGGGTACAAGTTGGTCAACGCACTCCGAAGCCGCCGTTTCACGGTGGCCATGCTGCAGCCGAACACTGGGGTCAGTTCCAACCTGCACCTGACATCCTCGGTCTCAACTGAACCTCCAACAGGAACATCCGCATCCACCACGAAAATGTTGGTATTCATCATGAATTTACAGATGACGTTAAAGTTGCTTTACAGTGAGTTGTCAGGATCATGTCCTTTACCTTTTTTCCAGGCACCTCCCGCCCTCAGCCAAAATCACGCGAAGGGTTGCTGCAGTCGGCCGATTTGTTTTTTACCAAGTAATGCCATGTCCTACTAAGCTTATGCAACAAACCATGCGTGTTCGTGATGAGCTTGAGCTTTGACAGGGTGCCCTTTCCATATAATGGTGCCACTCTTGCATCATCAAGCCAACTAGTGACAGTTGTTCGCGAAATGACCAGCCATCGTCCAGCAACGACAACAGCTACGGCAAGAATTTACGGAGCTTGTGGACACATCACCAGAGCAAGGATGGCTGAGGGGAGCTACAGCTACGGTTTCCAATATGAACAAAAGTATATAACAAAAACTATTTCGATGAAGGGAAAAACTCACTCTCTCACCTAAATGCCTGTGCCACCAGACCTGAATGCCTGGGCACTTAGAGATCAACGTGTCCCCGGTCACAAATCCGCCCGCACCAAAGGTGCTGGGGCGTGATCGTCCGGATGGGTAAAAGGTTACAGGTTTACCTGGGGGGGGGGGCATTTTTCGGCCAAAACCTCCTGTTTTTGATAGGTCGTGACGCTCGTCTTCAAAAAACACTGTAAAAAACAGTACGGAAGACACCTGTTCGTGAACGCGCCCGTCCAAAATCGGCAAGCGAAAAGTGAAAAACCCCCGTGTTTTTCAACTTTTTGACCTCAATTTTTTGGTTTGCAACATCTTTTTTTGCGGTTCCGCAGGTGGCCTGGCCCGGAGGCGGATTTTTGAGTTTTTGGACCCGTTTTCGGACTGATTTTCGTCGTTTTGTGATAGCAGAAACACTGGTTTTTACAGTGTTTTTCTGTTTTCTGCATGCTTGACGGCTAGCTTCAAAACTTCCAAAAACCTCGTAAATTACGCTGTTTTATGTTACGGTGTGAATGAAAACATCGTAAATACCAGTGTTTTTTGACGTTGGTTAAAAAAACACTGTAAATTACAGTGTTTTTGGCCACCTGACCCTCAAAAACCATGGTATTTGCAGTGGTTTCTGCTTCTCACCGCGCAAAAACACTGTAAATAACAGCAATTTCGCCGTTTTTTTCATGTTTTTCGTTATTTTTTGAACTGCGTTGGTCCGCTATTGGTCTCAATGGCCGACATCATTGGCAGTTACGAGCGGTCGCGAAGGTGTGAGAACAACATCGTTCAAACCGTGGCGGCCGCACAGGGGTTCTTGTCGCGGAGCGACGGCAATAGAAGAGAACAATGGCAGTAGAAGAGAACAATGGCTGACATCATTAACAGTGTGGACCGTTCACTCGATATGTACATATATGATCTTTATATATATAGATATATCTCTCTATCTATCTATCGGTCTATCTTTCTCTATCTATTTTGGTTGGCCGACATCTTTGCCAGTGTGGAGCGTCCAGACAACAAAAGCCTACATCTTGTAGATACGATACTTATAAAGCTTTCAAATTTATTGCTTGGTGCAAGGCAGCACCACACAACCTCAGGTTCAGTTCTTTAGTGTGAGCCCAACGATGCGGTGCGGGCGGTTGCCGTCGCGAAGCGACGTGAATATTGTCACCATTGTCTTGTGGGATTCGTTCCCGAAATCACAAGAGCGCTAGCTCCATCTGGTTGGGATCTTCAAACCAGATCGCACGCCACCTTTTTTAGCCTGAGATGCACACGGCAACATCTGAAGATGGCAGCAGCTGCAACCACCGCGCACAAAGCCCAAAGGGTGGGCCTGATTGGCAACAGGTTGAGCTCAATGGTGCCAAGTTGGGGGACAAATATACTACATACTATCTTTAGACATGCATGTGGTCTGAACATCACCAAATATCCTCATCTCCCTTTGCATTCGAACTCAGAAATTGACGGCTCTCCGTTTGAAAATGATGCCGCCCCATGCAACACCATCCAACCCCCAGCCCGCCTTTCATCCACTGCGTCCACAACATCCATGCTATCGCTGGGCCGCCGCAGGGCCAAAAGCTCTGCTTCTGGCGCCTGGAATTGACAGGTGCCACCAACAAAGGCTCCTCCTGGACCAGGACCTTTGGAAGGCCAGGCTCCCCAAAATCTTGGAATGTGCACTAATGACACTATGTTTGTTTTTACTTTTCACTCATCCATTTTTGGACTTTGAGGATTGAAACCACAATTTAAAAACAATCAAACCATCTATATAATTACAACATGACACCATGCTCCATATTTCCTGATCCCGCTGGACGCCTGGTTAATCTTCGCTTTGAAGTATTTCCAAGGCCAGGCTTTGGAGCCATCTGGACGCACCAACCAAAAGCCGTTGAGCCGATGCAGCTCGGTGACGCTCACCGCCTGCCAGCGCCATAAAAAAATCAGCGTCTCTCGTAACGGCAAATCATCGAACTCGCTGTGGGCCATAGCTTCCAAAGCAAAGTGTCAAAGTACCATAGGGATCCATAGGGTATGTTATCAAGCTGGAATGTTGGGTGGATTGTTGGGAGAATCATCCCAAAATCTTGCTCCATAAACAAGGTGATTCTGCGATGAATCCTTGACATCGTGTTGAGGTCAGTATGTATCTGATTAAGGTCATCCTGAATTATTCCATGGCAGAAAATGACAAAATGGGAACGCTTTCGGTGTCATGGGAAATCAAAATCATCCCCAAAATTGATTTGATTGAAGTGTGGCTCAAAGCTCCCACTCACAATATCCACAACTTTGAGAGGCAGTGAAGTCAATTAATCAGCCCACGGCACAGATGACTCGGGCGCTGACCTTGTCCCTACATCGACCATCTGCTCCACAACCAGGTCCTGGGAGACACTCCTCAGTTCTTGCCGCTAACAGCGCGGCGCCTTTTTTGGTGCTGTGACCCTGTTAATCACTCAAAAGATGATATCAAAAGTCATCCCAAAATTTACTGATACTTCATTGACGTTAAGAGGCTATGACACCCACTTCCTCACCTGGGGCCTTTCACTGCTCAGCTGGTAGAAGTATGTAGAAGTGCCTTGAAACCCAGGCCACCCGAAACCGCCAATGCCAAGGCGCATTGCAATAGGTCTCCCAAAACAGCAGATAAGCCACGCCCATGGCAAGGGCAGAGTTGATGACGTTACCTGAATCAAACAAGAGATGTGTCCAGAAAGAAAATGCGGCGGCAACATCGGCAACTCCACCAATCAGGGTGGTTTTCATGGTTTCCAATACCTTTTTTTTCGAATTATCAAATCGTGGATGCAGGACCAAAAGGTCCAAGTAATGGCTGGAGCATCTCTGTCGTCCAAGTCACCCAAAATGAAACTCACATCGCGCTCGGGCATGGTCCTTTGCGGCAGCCCAAACCTCAACGGCGCTCAAGGAACTGGCCCTCTTCAGCATTCGAAATTGCGAGATGCCATCCAAATGCCATCCAGTAGGATAGATCATGGATATGATATATACATAGTTGGACACGCACAGTTCTAGTAATGCCGCTTCCCAAAAGAGCACATCCAAAACCACACCTGAAGAATTGCCCAAAATAAGCTGCTGACTGGCAAGGGCAGATCAAATCTCACTTTTCTAATACTCATGTTGATAACTATTATGTTTAAGCCAAGTGAAATCCCGCCATTGCTGGACACACCCAAGTGGTTGTATCTCATCCTCGGAAACCCATCAAATCATATCCCAAGGGGCTCTCCCAGCATCACGGCCGCCATGCCGGCAGGCGCTGATGCAGTGCGATTGTGCTGCGAGGCCAGATACCTACGGTGGATGAAACCCATGCTGCAAGGGAAAACATGGACCATGGAACGAACAACTTCCTGGTAATGCAAATGGAGAATAGCTACACGATGTTGCACGAATATGCCATGCCCACAAATACCGGATACCCCAACATGTGGGTTTGTCGCTCCCGCAAGACTTGAGGCTGAGGGGCAGGAATTTTGAGAGCACCTGGGCTTCAAACCTTTCCCCAGTTTGCAACCATGAGGAAACAGGAGAGAGAATCTGCCTGTAGCTGTAATGTATGTTGCCAACTCGAGGTGCATCGCCCTGCTAGGCTACGTTTTGACTTTTAGATCTTTCAGTGCGGCTATCGAAGGGTTATTTTTAATGCATATGCTGCCTCTGCTTTCCAACTGGGTATATGTCACATTCCAGAGTCTCCCATAGCATTCAGGAAAGCCCAGGCGAGCTCCACGTCCTCTCGCCTCATGGCAGCTTCAAACTCCTTCAAGTCCTGCTGGGTGTCATAGCTACCTTATATCTCGAAAACGCACTCGAGGTTGCGTACCCGTAGGTCACGGGTTTATTGGGTAACTAAAACGTTTTATTGGATAACCAAAACGTTTTATTGAGTAACTAAAACATTTGATTCGGTAACCAAGACGTGTTATTGGGTAACCATGTTATTTGGTAACTAAAACGTGTTGTTTGGAAACAAAGAAACGTAGATTCGGTAACTAAAAGGTATTATTTAGTAACCACGTGGTTTGATAACTACGAACTCTGATTTGGTAACTAAGACGTCTTATTTGGAAACCATACTCTTCGGTAACTATAACGTGTTATTTAGAAACTATGAAACATTGATTCAGTAACCAAAAACAGTTATTCGGTAACCATGTTATCTGCAAAATGACATGTCTATGTGGGCAACCAAATCGAACGTGTTCGATGGAAACGATAGTCTCGAATGAATCCACAGCTATCCGCGTGCCTTTTTTTCCTTTGGACTGGGATACTTGCCGTGAGGTGTTCATGATTAAAAGCAAAATCCTGGGCAAAACCGGCAAACATCAGGGAGCTCAGGTGTGAATCAGTCGACCACGACATTTCACTTGCGCAACGTCGTGATTCATTTTGACACCAGCGCTGAATGTAAACAAGGAAAGCCACAGTGTGCGGTGACTGCCCCCACCCCAGTGAAGCTTTAGAGAAACAGAAAATATTCTTGCATGAAAGGTTTTGGGGGGGGCGAGGTTAAAAAAATGACTTGGAATCGTGCCCAGAAGTCTTGGAGACGGGAGGCTGTGAAGTTGAGGAATACTCTTGCATGTAGGGTTTTGGAAGGGGGAGGTTTAAAACATGCCTTGGATTGGTGACAAGAAGTCTTGGAGAGGTGAAGCTGTGAAGTTGAGGCATGCTCTTGCATGTAGGGTTTTGGGGGGGGAGGTTTAAAACATGCCTTGGAATGGTGACAAGAAGTCTTGGAGAGGTGAAGCTGTGAAGTTGAGGCATACTCTTGCATGTAGGGTTTTGGGGGGGAGGTTTAATAAATGACTTGGAATCGTGACAAGAACTCTTGGAGGGGAGGTTTAAAAAAATGACTTAGAATCTAACAAGAAGTCTTCGATAGGGGAGGCTGTGAAGTTGAGGCATACTCTTGCATGTAGGGTTTTGGGGGGGGAGGTTTAGAAAATTACACCGGCATAGACCCCAGATAGAAAAGGTTGGAACTGATGGTTCCCAACGTGGGAACCAAAGGTTACCATGGCAAGGAACTGCCGGTTCCCAGACCTTGAAACTTAGGGTTCCCAACCTGGGAACCAGAGGTTACCATTGCAAGGAATTGCTGGTTCCCAGAGGTTGGAACTCATGCTTCCCAACCTGGGAACCATAGGTTACCATTGCAAGGAACTTCCAATTCCTAAAGGTAGGAACTGATGGTTCCCAACGTGGGAACCAAAGGTTACCATGGCAAGGAACTGCCGGTTCCCAAAGGTTGGAACTCACGGTTGCCAACGTGGGAACCAGAGGTTACCATTGCAAGGAATTGCTGGTTCCCAGAGGTTGGAACTCATGTTTCCCAACCTGGGAACCATAGGTTACCATTGCAAAGAACTTCCAATTCCTAAAGGTTGGAACTGATGGTTCCCAACGTGGGAACCAAAGGTTGCCATGGCAAGGAACTGCCGGTTCCCAGACCTTGAAACTTACGGTTCCCAACCTGGGAACCAGAGGTTACCATTGCAAGGAATTGCCGGTTCCCAGAAATTAGAATTTATGTTTTCGAAGCTAAGCGGCTATCATTGTAAGGAACTGCGGGTTCCCAAAGCTTGAAACTCATGGTTCCAAACCTGAAAAAGTAACGTTACCAGTGGAAGGATCTGTTGATTGCAAAAAGTTTAACCTCATGGTTCTTAATGTTGTTTTGCTTTGTTTACTGAGCCGGTAACAGAACCTTTTGTTTTGCTTAATGGACCGGTAGCGGAATGTTTGTGTTTGGCTGTTGGGCCGGCATATTTTTTTTGCACGAAAAAGGTGCACGTCAAAATGATATGAAAACAGTTTCTTTACAAGTTTATGGTTTTGCTTAATGGACCGGTACAGAACGCTTTGTTTTGCTTAATGGACCGGTACCGGAATGTTTGCGTTTGGTTCATGGCAAGGAACTGCCGGTTCCCAAAGGTTGGAACTCACGGTTGCCAACGTGGGAACCACAGGTTACAATTGCAAGGAACTGCCGGTTCCCAGAGGTTGGAACGCATGGTTCCCAACCTGGGAACCAGAGGTTACCATTGCAAGCCACTGCCGGTTCCCACCTGGGAACCACAGGTTACCATTGCAAAGAACTTCCAGTTCCTAAAGCTTGGAACTGATGGTTCCCAACGTGGGAACCAAAGGTTACCATGGCAAGGAACTGCCGGTTCCCAGACCTTGAAACTTACGGTTCCCAACCTGGGAACCAGAGGTTCCCATTGCAAGGAATTGCCGGTTCCCAGAAGTTAGAATTTATGTTTTCGAAGCTAAGCGGCTTTCATTGTAAGGACCTGTTGGTTCCCAAAGCTTGAAACTCATGGTTCCAAGCCTGAAAAAGTAACGTTACCAGTGGAAGGATCTGTTGATTGCAAAAAGTTAGAACTCATGGTTCTTAACGTTGTTTTGTTTTGTTTACTGAGCCGGTAATGATATGAAAACAGTTTCTTTACAATTTTATGGTTTTGCTTAATGGACCGGTACAGAACGCTTTGTTTTGCTTAATGGACCGGTACCGGAATGTTTGCGTTTGGTTCATGGCAAGGAACTGCCGGTTCCCAAAGGTTGGAACTCACGGTTGCCAGGCGGGCATAAAAATGTTTTTGCACGAAAAAGGTGCATGTCAAAATGATATGAAAACAGTTTCTTTACAATTTTATGGGTTTGCTTAATGGACCGGTACAGAACGCTTTGTTTTGCTTAATGGACCGGTACCGGAATGTTTGCGTTTGGTTCATGGCAAGGAACTGCCGGTTCCCAAAGGTTGGAACTCACGGTTGCCAACGTGGGAACCACAGGTTACCATTGCAAGGAACTGCCGGTTCCCACAGGTTAGAAGTCATGGTTCCCAACCTGGGAACCATAGGTTACCATTGCAAAGAACTTCCAATTCCTAAAGGTTGGAACTGATGGTTCCCACCTGGGAACCACAGGTTACCATGGCAAGGAATTGCCGGTTCCCAGACCTTGAAACTTACGGTTCCCAACCTGGGAACCAGAGGTTGCCATTGAAAGGAATTGCCGGTTCCCAGAAGTTAGAATTTATGTTTTCGAAGCTAAGCAACTATCATTGTAAGGAATTGCCGGTTGCGAAAGCTTGAAACTCATGGTTCCAAACCTGAAAAAGCATTCGTTACCAGTGGAAGGATCTGTTGATTCCGAAAAGTTAAAACTCATGGTTCTTAATGTTGTTTTGTTTTGTTTACTGAGCCGGTAACAGAACCATTTGTTTTGCTTCATGGACCGGTAGCGGAATGTTTGCGTTCGGCTGCTGGGCCGGCATAAAAATGTTTTTGCACGAAAAAGGTGCATGTTAAAATGATATGAAAACATTTTCTTTACAACTTTATGGTTTTGCTTAATGGACCGGTAAAGAATGCTTTGTTTTGCTTAATGGACCGGTACCAGAATGTTTGCGTTTGGTTCATGGCAAGGAACTGCCGGGTCCCAAAGGTTGGAACTCACGCTTGCCAACGTGGGAACCACAGGTTACCATTGCAAGGAACTGCCGGTTCCCACAGGTTAGAAGTCATGGTTCCCAACCTGGGAACCACAGGTTACCATTGCAAGCAACTGCCGGTTCCCAGAGGTTGGAACTCATGCTTCCCAACCTGGGAACCATAGGTTACCATTGCAAAGAACTTCCAGTTCCTAAAGGTTGGAACTGATGGTTCCCAACGTGGGAACCAAAGGTTACCATGGCAAGGAACTGCCGGTTCCCAGACCTTGAAACTTACGGTTCCCAATCTGGGAACCAGAGGTTACCATTGCAAGGAATTGCCGGTTCCCAGAAGTTAGAATTTATGTTTTCGAAGCTAAGCAGCTTTCATTGTAAGGAACTGCGGGTTCCCAAAGCTTGAAACTCATGGTTCCAAGCCTGAAAAAGTAACGTTACCAGTGGAAGGATCTGTTGATTGCAAAAAGTTAGAACTCATGGTTCTTAATGTTGTTTTCTTTTGTTTACTGAGCCGGTAACAGAACCTTTTGTTTTGCTTAATGGACCGGTAGCGGAATGTTTGCGTTTGGCTGTTGGGCCGGCATAAAAATGTTTTTGCACGAAAAAGGTGCATGTTAAAATGATATGAAAACAGTTTCTTTACAACTTTATGGTTTTGCTTGATGGACCTGTAAAGAACGCTTTGTTTTGCTTAATGGACCGGTACCGGAATGTTTGCGTTTGGTTCATGGCAAGGAACTGCCGGTTCCCAAAGGTTGGAACTCACTGTTGCCAACGTGGGAACCACAGGTTACCATTGCAAGGAACTGCCGGTTCCCAGAGGTTGGAACTCCTGGTTACCATTGCAAGCAACTGCCGGTTGCCAGAGGTTGGAACTCATGCTTCCCAACGTGGGAACCATAGGTTACCATTGAGAACTTCCGTTTCCTAAAGGTTGGAACTGACGGTTCCCCACGTGGGAACCAAAGCACAGCACGCTGCACAGCACCCTGCACAGCACCTTGCACAGCACCCTACACAGCACCCTGCACAGCACCTTTCACAGCACCCTTCACAGCACCCTGCACAGCACCTTCGCGAGACTTCGCCATCGCACTCTGGACAGCAGTGTGCACAGCACCCTGCACAGCACCTTTGCCAGACTTCGCCACCGCAGTCTGGACAGCATTCTGCACAGCACCCTGCACAGCACTCTGCACAGCACCCTGCACAGCACCCTGCACAGCACCTTTGCCAGACTTCGCCACCGCAGTCTGGACAGCACCCTGCACAGCACCCTGCACAGCACCTTTGCCAGACTTCGCCACCGCAGTCTGGACAGCACCATGCACAGCACCCTGCACAGCACCTTTGCCAGACTTCGCCACCGCAGTCTGGACAGCACCTTGCACAGCACCCTGCACAACACCTTTGCCAGACTTCGCCACCGCAGTCTGGACAGCACCCTGCACAGCACCCTGCACAGCACCTTTGCCAGACTTCGCCACCGCAGTCTGGACAGCACCCTGCACAGCACCCTGCAACAGCACCCTTTGCCAGACTTCGCCACCGCAATCTGGACAGCACCCTGCACAGCACCCTGCAACAGCACCCTGCACAGCACCCTGCACAGCACCCTGCACAGCACCTTTGCCAGACTTCGCCACCGCAGTCTGGACAGCACCCTGCACAGCACCCTGCACAGCACCTTTGCCAGACTTCGCCGCCGCAGTCTGGACAACACCCTGCACAGCACCCTGCACAGCACCCTGCACAGCACCTTTGCCAGACTTCGCCACCGCAGTCTGGACAACACCCTGCACAGCAACCTGCACAGCACCCTGCACAGCACCTTTGCCAGACTTCGCCACCGCAGTCTGGACAACACCCTGCACAGCACCTTCGCCAGACTTCGCCACCGCAGTCTGGACAGCACCCTGCACAGCACCCTGCACAGCACCCTGAACAGTTTGCCAGACTTCGCGACAGCAGTCTGGACAGCACCCTGCACAGCACCCTGCACAGCACCTTTGCTAGACTTCGCCACCGCAGTCTGGACAGCCCTGCACAGCACCCTGCACAGCACCCTGCACAGCACCTTTGCCAGACTTCGCCACCGCACCCTGGACAGCACCCTGCACAGCACGCTGGGCTCAAAAGTTCGCCACCGGAGACCCCCACCTAAGAGAAGTAAGAACCCCTATAGCTTGCCAGCTATCTGGGGAATGACTTGGAATGACAAGAAGTCTTGGAGAGCTGAAGCTGTGAGGTTGAGGTCTTGGATAGGGGAGGCTGTGAAGTTGAGGAATACTCTTGCATGTAGGGTCTTGGGGGGGAGGTTTAGTAAATGACTTGGAATCGTGACAAGAACTCTTGGAGAGGTGAAGCTGTGAGGTTGAGGCATACTCTTGCATGTAGGGTTTTGGGGGGCAGGTTTAAAAAATGACTTGGACTCGTGACAAGGAGGCATACGCTTGCATGTAAGGTTTTGTGGGGGAGGTTTAGAAAATGACTTGGGTTCTAACACAAGAAGTCGTGGAGAGGGGAGGCTGTGAAGTTGAGGCATGCTCTTGCATGTAGGGTTTTCGGGGGTGAGGTTTTAGAAAATGCCTTGGAATCGTGACAAGAAGTCTTGGAGAGGTGAAGCTGTGAAGTTGAGGCATGCTCTTGCATGTAGGTTTTGGGGGGGGAGGTTTAAAACATGCCTTGGAATCGTGACAAGAAGTCTTGGATAGGGGAGGCTGTGAAGTTGAGGAATACTCTTGCATGTAGGGTCTTGGGGGGGAGGTTTAGTAAATGACTTGGAATCGTGACAAGAACTCTTGGAGAGGTGAAGCTGTGAGGTTGAGGCATACTCTTGCATGTAGGGTTTTGGGGGGCAGGTTTAAAAAATGACTTGGACTCGTGACAAGGAGGCATACTCTTGCATGTAAGGTTTTGTGGGGGAGGTTTAGAAAATGACTTGGGTTCTAACACAAGAAGTCGTGGAGAGGGGAGGCTGTGAAGTTGAGGCATACTCTTGCATGTAGGGTTTTCGGGGGGGGAGTTTTAGAAAATGACTTGGAATCGTGACAAGAAGTCTTGGATAGGGGAGGCTGTGAAGTTGAGGAATACTCTTGCATGTAGGGTTTTGGGGGGGAGGTTTAAAACATGCCTTGGAATCGTGACAAGAAGTCTTGGATAGGGGAGGCTGTGAAGTTGAGGAATACTCTTGCATGTAGGGTCTTGGGGGGGGAGGTTTAATAAATGACTTGGAATCGTGACAAGAACTCTTGGAGAGGTGAAGCTGTGAGGTTGAGGCATACTCTTGCTCAAGAAGTCGTGATATTCAAATACGGATAGTTGCTCGAGGCGATTCCTAATTCTTAAATCGAATTTGCCAAGGTGTAAACCATGCTTGCCAAATCGGTCAGGTCTGGTTTCCTCAATTAGTCACCAAGTCGGAGAGTTTTAGTTTCCAAGCATCTGAGAATTGTAGTTACCAAATCGGAGAATGGTAGTTACCAAATCTGGGAATCTCAGTTCCCAAAACATAATTATCAAATCGGAGATTCTTAGTTATCAAATCGCGGAGATTTGGTTTCCAAATCGGGGATTTGTAGTTTCGGAATCATAGTTTCCAAATCAGGGAAACGCAGTTACTGAAGCAGAGATTGTTAGTTTCCCAACCGTAGTTCCCAAAGCGTAGTTTCCGAATCGTAGTTTCCAAATCGCCGATAAGTATCCAATCGGTCTTCCATCCCGTACACACCCTTGGAAGATCTTGGACCTATCCAGGTCAAGCCCTTCAATCCGGATACTGGGATACTGACTTGCGGTTGGTTGATGAAACAGATTCTTGGGGCTCCATTCCTCCACCTCATAGGATTCTCCCCTCAAGCCCTCAAGCCAGCTATCCGCCATCCTCCTCCCTTGTCCAACCAATGCCGCTTGGAGGCTGTATGAAACCATGTCCAGCTGCCTGGGGAAGTCAATGCAACAAAGCATCTATCAACTTTCAAACAAGGGTAAAGCGGTAAAGCTCAGAATCAGGCCCCGAATCGGATCATCTGGACCATCAATCTTTCTCAGTTGAGCTTTCTTCAAAGCTGGATGGATCTGAGGTTCCAAACACGAAGGGCAACACGCGATTCACCACGTTGGACCCCTTCTCAAAGAGGGACTCAGCGATCAAATTGACTTCTGCTGCCAGGTACACATTGCCGGCCTCAGGGTGGGATGGGATTTCAGCAATCACGTTGGGAAGAAACGAATACGGTAACTGCTGGGTTGACCATTGAGAGGTTTTGGCCCACCAAACTGGGGCCTCCAAATTGTCACATTGACGGGTTTCATCAAATGTGCCAAGCAACTGCACCAGGAACCCGGAACCTCACAAGAGCTGTGGTCATTTTTTGCAGCTGATGATCCTATTATTCCAATGTTGGCAATTTTGTGTGTGTGTGTTGAACTATCCAATCCGTGAGGTACCACATGTATAGTTTCGACTCATATCCACCTTCTTTCAAACAGCTGGTGCCGCTATCAACTGGAATCAGGAGGAGAAAGTTTCAATAATCCTTCGAACTATTCGGTCCGGTTTTCCACCACCAGAGTTTTCTGGGTTACACTTCAGGTTTGTTGGTCAATATCCCCGTGTCCATCAAATATAGCGACAACAAAAAGGACAAAATGACGGGTCTGGTCCTGCCTTTGTCTCGCTTTGGTGACTCCAGCTTGCCGGGCTCTCAACCACCTGCTCCAGGGATACGATGGGCTAACCACGATGCTAATGAGATGGGAAATCAACTTTGGTCCACTTTAAATTTTGACCTACAAGCAACAAACTGAAAGAGAAGAACGAAAGAACTCGATGCCAACACTTTTGAGCCTCAGAAATATCTACCTTGAGAGTCGGGTAGCCCCAAAATCATCCATTTCATCCCATCAATCTTGTAATTTCATATATGTCAGCATCATCTTCCCCATTTAAAATGGCATCACACAAGGCCATTTTACTGGGGTACCATTCGGCTCCCCTTCACCTCTGCATGGCCACAAACTCAGCTTCTTTGGGCGCTCGCTGCACCCCCAGGCCACCACGGATCTCCCAGTCGCCCTCGCCTTGAAAACCGGAGATCCTTTGATTCAAAAAAATGACCAAAAAAAATTGGCCTTTTCAATGGAAAACCCAAAGTTAGAAGGGGTACCCCAGTTCTAAGGTCATATGAGTCATATGTTGAAATGACTAGAACAATACCGACAACGCCTACATACTTTGTATATTGTTTATTTTGCCCACTATCTTCCACTTGCACACATTGATGCGGCTGAACACACATTTTGAGAGTACAAACTGAGTGTAGCGTTCCACGGAAAAATGAATCGATCAGAGCATCCCACATCCACCCATTTCATCACTTTAAGTCATGGAGCTAAATCCTTCGACCCCTACTAGTATCCTTGGTGGACAGAAAGTAGACAGCCCCCACCCTTTGGCTGTAAGTTGCTTGGATCTCAATATTTGACAGAAAACGACCTAATCTGAGACCTGGTCCGAGCCCAGCTACAAAAAAATCAATGCAAACAACCTGGATCTCAGACGAGGGGCAATTGCTGAAAACCTCAGCATAGCACAGCTGGTCCATCAAAGGCAACTTCTGTTTCAACGGTCACCATGTAAATCCAGGAGGATACTGGACTTCAAGTAGCCCGTGGTTGGAACACTCAGAGTCCCGCACGAATGTCTTTTGGGGATATCTCTCCAGAAAAAATGCGGCTGCTTCATAGAACCTTAGCAGGTGGCAAGGCAAGAAGGGCCTATATACCACCTCCCATGTGGAGTTTCAAATCTGCTGAAGGAAAAAAGTACCTACGCTATGTACAGAAGGCACACCTAGAACAGACACAAACAACATGGAACTTAATTAAGCAACTATAAAGTTTTTTATATCACTTCTATTAGCTATATGAGTTGTATTGAGTTGTAATTTTATATCATTCTATATCATGTATATATACACAAACTCAATTGCACTGGCCGTGCATTTCTATTTGTGACATCCAGTGCAAGACACTGCAGCTCCTCTTCAGCCTCTTTTGCTTCGCTGATGCCCTGGACCCAATATCCAGCCGCCATGTTGCCAGCTGATCCACCACCTCGGGCTATCAGGACCTGTGTCGAACTGTAGAATCTTTGATTCGAAAGTCACTGCAATGTGATGCAATGTGTGTGTCAAACACTGGCTGCCACTGGTGCATTCCCACCCCGGTGCGGCCTGCGGTCGAATAGGCCACCAAGACGTACGTGTCAAAGCGCATGTCCTTTGACGGGACATGTCATAAATGAGGGAGCCAAAAATCATCAAAAGGTTGTGTCCTTTAATATGAACACCGTTGGTTCCCGATTTCAAGACTCCGATTTGGGCACAGGCTAACAATAGATTCATCAATAATGCACCAAAAGGTGCAAGAATTGGCCATTGGCCAAATCTTTTTGTAAGTTATTTATACCGTATACCCTTGTCAAAATATCCAATTTGGGGGGCCAACCATTTTGAGCTCTTGCTATTTGTTACCAAGATCAATATGATGCATGATTCTCCACCAAAGCTGAATGGCTTCAGCAAGTTTCCCAGAGCTCGCGGAAGTGCTGATGCTCTGCGACATCTCTCAAGGTCTCAAAAGATTCATCCGGAGGCCAGTCGGAGCCAACAGCATAGTTCCAGGAAGGTCGAAAGAGTGCCACCTGTGCTGAGACTTGGGCATCCGGCAAGCCGTTGGGGCTGGATATGGCTGGATGTAACTTTCACTTTAGGGACCTTCCATAAATTGTGGCCTGAATTGAATTTCAAGGGATATTCTTATGACCTATGACCCCGACTCCCACCTTGATCACCCGCATTCCCATGTCTTCCAATGTCCTCGCACCATCCAGCAAGACAGGCATGGAGTGGTTGCCTTAGCCCAACCCCAGTTGTGGAACCCAGTACTCAGTCGAATCATCAAGTGCTTCGAAGAATTGCCCTGCAAACCTTCTGGGTCACATTGGTCTGCAAGTACCCCCATTAAATAAAGAATTGTCGTGGGGGATGGTGGTTTTGAGTTGTCGGGCGCAAACAGATACAGATACAGTAGGAGAACACGTCACGGGTGTCAAATATGGTCCGCAGAAAGAGGTTCTTACTTACACCTATGGATCAAAATCCTGGTGATGACCCAAGTTGTTTTAGGTTTTTAACATCAAAATTTGCACTGTCATCCCCATTTCATATCAAGAATATTCAAGAATTATACGATTTGGCCGCAACTCCAAACCCATCTGCCCTTGTCTCAAATTGGACCTAAATCCATGTTCTCAAAAAAAAAACGGTTTTCATTATTTTTTTCCTATCCCCCCGGCCCCCGTTTTTGGAAAGCCACCGGGCTGATGCCATGGTACGAGCGTAGCAGGGAGCCCACACTGTGGCACCCAACTTCTCCGCGGCTCCGGGCACCTCCGACGCCTCTTCTCGGGGCCGGGCCACACAGGCCGTGATCCTCAGTGGAAAAGGTCGAAAATTGGAGGAAAATATCAAATCCCAATGTTTTGTCTACATAGATATCGAAGAAACAACGGAAAATAGTCCAGAACCCTAGATCGACATGAAAAACTGTCAACAAGTCTTGTAGTGGCCTTTGCCGCTCCCATGGACAGATGGTCTAATCATGAGCGTATAGAAATGCAATCCCAGGAATCCCATGATGCCCAGCTCACCTTGTGGCTTTGACACCAAGAATCGCAGGCGTCTCGCGTCCGCTCGGCCTTTCAGATACGAAGCCGAGCTTTAAGTAGCACCTGGGCAGAATCCATGGCCTAAATCCTACTGGGCAACTGAGGTTGTGTACAACTTGGCATGTCATTACAAATGAGGCTGGCAAATGCCTTTGGAACCATCCTTGGAATAACAGTTGTCGTAACTGCATTGGTCAAAGGCAGCTAGTAAGCTAGTCATAGCTAGTCAGCTAGTCTCTTAAGATGCCAACAACTCCAATTTCGCATGGATCAGTTTGGCCAAGCTATGGCTCCGAGCTACAGCACACCCCTTTTGGGAAAACCGATGGTCAAGGGCCAAGAGGCTCATGCCAACGTTGGTGCCAAATGCCCACCTTTTGAGAGCTTCGGAGCATGTTACACTTTCTTGACACTGAAGCTACAAACCCAATCTTGTCCAAATCAAAATCAAACAGCTTCTCACGAACTCAAATGCCTGTAGTCGGGCAGCCATCGTCTGAAGTGCATGGACTAGTTGTCTGGAAATGACCGAATGAATGGAAGTTGAATGCCCAAGCAATCAGATATTGCAGCTGGAATGTTAGAGAAGCATCTCGTCTCACACTCATGCGCTGATGAGCCTCATAGGAAAAAAAACTTTGCTTGTAAATTAATTCTATATATATATATGTATGGGAAAAAATGGTAAAAGGGGGATGCTGGGACTTCCCAGCGTTCATTGTTGGTTGTTATGGTTTTTATGTTCTTGTTCAATGTTTCTTCCTTATCTTTGATGTTTTATGTGGACTTGATGGTTTGGTTTAAGATGAGGGGGACAATTGTTTAGACTGTTGTGGTTTATGTTTGTGTTTGGGTGGGTGATTACTTCATAATATAGTTTAATAAGATATTTTGAATTTTCCTTGTTTTACGCTTTCCATTTTCCTATTCCATCCCACCAGTGTTCTATTCTCCTGACTTGACTTGTGATAGATTTGTTTGTATTGGTTAGTTCATCCATCGCTAATGCTAATAGAGTTTGATTTATCGCCATAGCATCCCATATTTTCCATCACGGTGAAGTTCCAGCCCCCGCAGTCAATGATTACTTTTTTATCCGTGAGGTTTTCATACATTCTTTTGATAATGTTAAAATTTTGACAAACGAATATATTATCATAGCATTTATTCCTTGGTCGTTTTTCAACCTATCAATTAGTTTCTTCCATTTTTTTTATCCTTCCTCATCATCGGGTAAAGGCATAGGATGACATTTTACAAAGTCTCTAATCTCTTCATCTTCTTTTTCTATTGCTTTTCTTTCCCAGTCGTCATCCTTGCTTTCACTACCAAAGTCAGCATATAAACCAATATTACCTGTATCTATAACCTGAATTTTTGCTTTACTCATTTTCTCTTACTATATATAGGTATTTTTTCTTTAAGTATTTATCACTTTTTGTAGGTGTTCTTTTATTTCTTCTATGTTCAAATATTTCTCATAACCATTGAAAAGTTCTTCGGTGTATTCACGCAAAAATATTTTCAAAATGTCATTTACCTTGAACTCCCTGTTTCTAAAGGTATAAGTCCAATCGTTTTGAGGAAACCACCACTCCCGCTTGTTCTTACAATACATCATATACATAAGGTCGTGAAAGTTTTTAAGGAAGTGATAGGTAGTTTTCCACTCCCTTTTCACAAAAGACTTAATCGCCATTAAGAACAGTTTGTCGTGTTTGAATTCTTGCTTGAGTTTGAATGTATCCATTAAAACATCAATTTCTCTTTTCATTTGCCGAGTGTTTGTTCGGTTCGTGTTGGATAAATAAATAGGTGATTTCTCCATCCTTGTTTTAAAGAAATAGATTGTCTTTTCTACTCTCGTCAGTTTTTTATCATGAAAATAGTCAAAATGATAATTGAAATCTATGTATCTACGCTCCCTATCGTTTAAGTCTTTACATTTTGAACAGTGAAGGTTGTAATCACATATCTCACTCCAGCGGGAAAAATATTGTTCAATAAAACCTTTGGGTTAGTTAACGGTTAGTCATTTCTTTCTTACAACATCCACAGTTTTTATAAGTAAATAGCATTCTCTTTGAAAGCAGATTGTTCGTTGGTGGTGGTTGCTTTGTATCTCATTTGAATGCCTGTGAGTGCTTTGTTCTTGTCCAGATTGAGCCATCTAATGCCTCTCTTCTCTTTCAGTTCATACTTTGTGTAGTCCATAGTCTGCCTAATCTTGTTGAATTTTGTTATCAACCTCTTTGAAATGGGTTTTCCCCTTTCAAAGTTGTAGGTTTTCTCTCCAATCTTGAGTTTCTTGAGTTCTTCTCCATTCCGTTTCAATATCTCACCCTTTTCGGATGACAAAAGATAATCTAAAACAATCTGCTGTGAAGTGTCCATTATAGTATAATCTATATTATTATTATTATTTTTATTATTATTATTATGTTCTGTTTCTTTAAGTAGTTTTTTACTGTCATTTTGGGGTTGTGAATGTTGAGGTTGAAATGGTTGTTGGTTGTGTTGGTGTTCAATAGTAAATTCATTCTTTAACCTTACACCCTCTCCCATATTCTCTATACTATATAAGGTGTCATTTCTTTAAGTAGTTTTGGGGTCTCGTTCAGTTTTCAGGTAATTTGGTTCTAGGTTGAAGTCCAACGTGAGAACCTCACGGTTGGTTTTGAAAAACTGGTTTAAAGAAATGGCAACTTGTGGTAGATATAGGTATGAATAGATATGAAAAGGGAAAATTTTACAAAATAACTGACATTGGATACGACAAATTCTATGTAGGGAGCACTTGCAAAAATTTGAGTAAAAGAATTGAGAGACATAGAACAAAATACAACAACTCTAAGACAGGAAAGACAAACAGCAAGATTTCAGTGTTTGATATCTTTGATGAGTTTGGTATTGAAAATTGTAAGATTGAGTTGATTGAAAACTACCCGTGTAATTGTAAGGAAGAACTATTGAGACGAGAAGGACACTACATCAAAAACACTGATTGTGTCAATAAGGTCGTTCCGCATAGGACGGAAGAAGAGAGAAAAGAGGTGTCGCGGGAATACTACTACAAACATAAAGACAAAATATTAGCGAAGCACCTTGAAAAGGTTGAGTGTCCTTTTTGTAAGCGTGTAATGTCGCAATATTATATTCCAACACATCAAGGGTCCAAAAATTGTGTCAAACAAACAGGAATAAGTAGCGAATAAAACGTTCTCAACAACATCATTTGTTATTGAGAAGGTTTGAGTTCAACAGTTCATCAATGACATCTGCTGTTGATACATCTGTTGGTTTGACGGTGCTTTGATAGATTGGATTTGCTCGTGATTGTTCGCCCGCAGTCGGGACAGGTGAAAGGGGTTGATAATTTCTTTTGAAGTCGTTAAAATCGCCTCTGGCGGTTTCCATCGTGTGGATGTTGTGGTTGGTGGGTTGTGGATGTTGTCGGATTGGTGTAGTGCTTCCGCCATGTGGTCAAAAAGGTCTTCGTCCATTTCTTGCTTCATACCGTTGATATACATATAGCAGGGCATATTCAATTCTTAATTATATAAGGCGGTATGTCTTTAAGTATTTATGGGGGTTTTGTGTTGAAACCGAGGGACTTGGTATAGTCATTTTTCAATACAACTGTATGTAGAAACCATTTGTCCCGTCAGAATTTATGTCAATTGAGGATTGAAAGATTGTTTAATGTCAGAATATATGTCTGGTGAGGGTTTTTTCATTGATTTTATGGGTGAAGCCTATACGAAGTTTCTACAAGAATTTCAAATTGAACCGCAACACCAATACAAATAATCAGTTCAAAATCCGCCACCAACACTGGGGGGTGTACCTTCGCCATCAGCATCAATCCAGAGCGGTTCGCTCCCCCTCCAAGTGTTGGATTTTTGTCCCTCCTTCTTCTTCTTTCTTCTATAAATTATATACTACTACACTAAATCCTAAAAAGAAAAAAAGTGCCCGACGCGTGATGAATTCCTCGACGTCCCTTCTGACAGGTCAGGTTGAACAATGGGGTAAGGACAAAATTTTGTATATGTGTGTGGAATATGTGGGTATGTTCTTAATATATATATATATATCATATTTCCAATGAGGTGTGGGAAAAATGTTTGTCAGTGTCATCTGTTCCAGGTTCTGGTTGAAACTGTATTGAAAAAATGTCAAGGTCTGAAGACTGTTTGACAGGTTCATTTCTTTCAAGGCTACGGTTGAAGTTCTCAGCAAAAATCAGGCTTTGAAAAACGCTGGGATTGACCTTCGCATAGGTCAGTTCAGTGTTGTCTTTACAACCTCGGCGTGGGAGAAATGGACAGGTCAAAAATCCGATTTGGAAAGCATTTCAATGGAAATTGGATAGGTGAAAGGGGGTCAGGTGAAGGGGTGAAATGTGTTCCAGTGAAAGGGTGAAAGAACCCTCCAAAATGGTTAAGATTCCTTTCAAAAAGGTCTCTTCACCTACCCAGTGAAAGGTTGAAAGGTGCTTTCACCCCCTTGGTGAAAGGCTGGTTTGACGTACGTAGTTAAAGGGCTTCCACCCACTTCGTGAACAGTTTCCGTAATTGTGAAAGGGTTTGTAAGTTTTCTGGTGAAGATCCTTGTGAAATTAGCGGGTGTTCATAGGGTAAGTATCCGACCTTTTCCAACTCTCCGTTTTGGCACCTCTGTATGGGCTGTGAAACGCAATCAAAGCTCCCCGCGAGTTGCACTTGCGGTAAACAACTGAATGCGCAAGAGATATGCCACCAAAAGGACGAGACAAAACACAAGAAAGGTTCTCCGCTTGATCATCTCATCTTTCTCTGCGATCATCTGATCTTTCTCTGCAATTCTTTGCTGGTGCTGTGTAATGTTCAGGGAATGCGGGAAATACAGAATACTGAAAGGCAAATCCTTCAGGACAGGGAACTTGTTGATGGCCTGTAGCCACTCCTCGCTGCACCGAATTGGCTTCAAGTTGATCACGAGTACTGCAGCTGGGGGCAAGCAATCCACTGCTGCGCGCATGGTCAAGTATTTCTCAAGCTGGAAGCACTTGTGGTAGAAAAGGGCACCATGGTTTGTGGCTTCCACAACTGTATGAGCTGGGGCGCTTCCACTTCCATGCAGTAACTCTGCACCCTCGCCCAAGCTTTGAACCAGGTCTTTTTCCTCCTCTAGCACCGCGTCAGCCTCCGCTACACGATAATTGGAGCCTGCTTGACTTTCTTTTGTTGTGGCAAACAATCGCTCCTGTAGTTTCCACCCAACATTTTTCTTCGAAGCCTCGGCCGCTTCCTGCTCCAATTCCCGCAGTGACATGATTTGGTCCTCTTCAAGCCAGGCCTCAACTCGTGCTGCATCCTGTTTGCGTTCAGAACCTGTTAGTCTGAATCTAATGCAGTTTTCATAGTCCTCTCCAGCTACACAGCCTGGCAGTGAGCTGTTGTCGCTCCACTTGGCTGTGCCGTCTCTCGGGCAAATTGTTGGCCAATCATTCTCATTTGCCATTGCAACGACAACCGCCCGGGTGAAACGCGAAGTGTTGTTTTCTCAAGCTGCTGAACACGTGATGCTTGTCTGGCACCTCACCAACCTATATATCAGGCCTCAGATTTGAGTACGGAAACGTCCAAACACTATACCAATTGCTGCCATGAGTGCAGAATTGATTCTTTGCAGCAGGTCCAAAGGTTGCATCACTATACAAGGACGCGTCTGAGAGAGAGTCAGCTGCAATAATCTTGCATGAATCCAAACTACAACATCTTGCATGAATACGCATCTTGGCAAATGCATTCCCGTCCCAATTCCGAAGGTCTGGGTGCCCAGGCAATTTGCACGAAGAACTTGATGAGGATGTCGAGAGGAGAAGCCACCGACCAGAAGAAACAAACCCAAGGAACATAAAACTTCAACAGCAACAACAATTCTCCCCCTCATCTTAAACCAAACAATGAAGTAAAAGTTCGGGGTAAAATTGTCCCAAAATCCCCAGCACAGAAAACATCAATGGTAAGGAAGAAACATTGGACATCAACATAAAAACATAACAACCAACCCACGCGTCCTAGCATCCCCCTTTTACCATTTTTTTTTGCTTGTAAATTAATTCGGGAATCCAATGGCTGTTTTTCTACAGGAGCTGGTCATATCTTCCCTCAGAAATTGGGATCTCCGGATCTCCTTCTCCCGCACCTTGCAGTCGTCCCAAGCAGCACACAGGGCGCAACAGGACTCTGCTGTGGTCACGCCCTTCACAGTGGCTCCACGGCTGGATATATAGTCCCTTCCTTAACGCGGCCCGAGCTAGTTGAAACAATGCCTGGGTTCATTCAACCCATGCATGGCTGGCTAAGATAACACAATTACAACCGCCCAAAAATGCCAAAATATGCGGAGATTTGGGATTTCCTCACCATATCCCACCGTGGTTTACATCTGTAAACAGTATCTAAATAGTATTAAACATTATTAAACAGCTATAAAGTCCACGTTGAACTACCAACTGGATCCAAGTGGATCTCCACGGCCAACCGGCTGGGCCTCCCAACCTCTCTGCTGCTGGCAGCGCGCGTTTACGTTTGGGGCAAGGCATGCCAGGTGATCTGGGGCTCCTGGCATTGGCTTCTCATGGGGGATTCTCAGGGGATTAATAATTAAATATGATGATGATATAATGATATATCATCATAATCCAGTGTTGGTGATTTGATTATCTAATATCCTCAATACATGAAGTTTAATACAATCCTCTATATCCGCCGACCCCAGCTGGTGCAAGGGGGAACAGGGATTGCAGGCTTCTGGTTGTGCAACAACGGCAACAACGGCACAACAACGGCACAACAACGGCACAACAAGGGCACAACAAGGGCACAACAAGGGCACAACAACGGCACCACAACGGCACCACAACGGCACCACAACGGCACAACCACAACCACAACAACAACAACAACACCACCACCACCACCACCACCACCACCAACACCAACACCAACACCAACACCAACACCAACACCAACACCAACACAACACCAACACCAACACCAACACCAACCAACCAACCAAACAACCAACCAACCAACCCAACCAACCAAACAACCAAACAACCAAACAACCAAACAACCAACCAACCCACCAACCAACCAAACAACCAAACAACCAAACAACCAAACAACCCGACCAATCCGACCAATCCGACCAACCCGACCAACCCCGACCAACCCGACCAACCCGACCAACCCGACCAACCCGACCAACCCAACCAACCCAACCAACCCAACCAACCCAACCAACCACACCAACCACACCAACCACGCCAACCACGCCAACCACGCCAACCACGCCAACCACGCCAACCACGCCAACCACGCCAACCAAACCACGCCAAACACCCAACCACACCAACAACACCAACAACACCAACCACACACCACACCAACCACACCAACCACACCAACCACACCAACAACACCAACAACACCAACAACACCAACAACACCACCACCACCACCAACAACAACAACAGCAGCAACAGCAACAACAACAAACAACAAACAACAAACAACAAACAACAAACAACAAACAACAAACAACAAACAACAAACAAACAACAACAAACAACAACAACAACAACAACAACAACAACAACCAACAACCAACAACCAACAACCACCAACCACCAACCACCAACCACCACCAACCACCAACCACAACAACAACAACACAACCCTCAATTCTTCTTTATAATCTATGTCTGATCCTTTACCCTCAAGTGGGCCCCTGGCCGGCTGTCGGGCGTAAGCCTTTAAATAGTCATCAACCAACTACAGTAACTTTCTGGAAACTGCTGAATTCGCATTATTCTGCAATTAGTTCGCTCCAGTGATTCAGGAAAAACATTAAGTGTAGAAGGAATGAAATGGCCGAAGCCATTTGGAACGGTAGGAAGTAGCCGTATGGACATCAAATTCGAGGTCAAAAGCCGCAGCCCGGTAAACAGCACAACATGCCTGAACCACACTATCTTATGTTCACAAAATCCCAGGTTTGCATGTTGGTAATGAGTCATGATCAAGCATTGTTGCAGGAAAGGCGCGAAACAACAGAAAAAGCGCTAACATTTCTGTACCCTTTTCAGTGGTTTCAGGCAGGAACCGTCCTGAGGAAGGATACTGAGAACCTCCAAGTAGACACTCCTCACAGAGTCCATGTTGACATGTCACGTGCAAATGCAGTGCTCCATGGTCCCCCCCTAGCACAGGGCACTCCTCACTGAAGCTGCGATACACAGCAGCCAAACAGCCTCGAAATACAACTCATCAACACAATAAAGGAGGTTTGAAACATGTAGCCTTGGCTTGGACACATTGATCTGCAAGTCATCTATCATGGCGAGGGGTGATGTTTCAATGATGCAGTTTGGTTCAAACACAAAAACATGCGTTTTGTGATAAGACCAAAATGCACTACTCCCTTGCAAATGGTCTGGTTGAAGGGATCCGATTTTGACATCCTGCCTCTCGTTTTCCAAAATGTCCAAAAATCACGTAGAGATGCAAACTACCTGAGTTGTGGACCTTTCTTTTCGCAACATCTCGCACAGCAGCCCTGAGGACCTTGCTGTCAGCCAGCACTTGCTAAGGTTCGATTCCCACTTGACGGCATTTTCGCCCCCAAACCAAAAGGGTGGCATTCCAATTGAACCAAAGATTCACATCAAATCAGCTAGCTCGTGATGATTTTGCAATGCCGATACAAACGAGCCTGAACCAGAAGCAGGAAAGTTGAAAGCAAAACCATGCCACCAGAATAACATCATCACCCAATGCTATGGAGCGCGCACTCCCCCTGTCAGCTTGACGCTGGGTTACTCCATTGTCCCAATGACATGCTCGTCAAGGCACTGGCTATATGGGATTCGCTCACTGCCCCAAAAGGAACACAAACAGTAATCAGTGGCCCCAGAAGTACCGCCATGGCCAGTGGACGATGCTGACAAAGGAAGGGATTTCCAAAACTACATGTTACGCTGTGGTTCGGCTGAGGAACAACCCAATGATCCAGAATCGGTTCTGAATGTTGATGATGTTATGTATGTTCAAAGTACAAGTATTAAATATATAGTATCGTGTTTATGTGCATATATATATATATATGTATATATGTATATACGCTATGTAGATGTAGGTATAGATGCAGATGAAGATATAGATGTATATTGAATTAGTTGTAGGTGTACTGTATAGGTATGTGACTTGCAATCTCAGATTTGGTGTGGATCGAACATTCTCAAAATAAAATCATGAAAAGTGTATCAGTCGTCTAAAGCTGTAGAATCAGTGGCACGCGCAGCCCATAGAAGGGCTCAAGTTGGTAACCACGTGCCCCACACTCATAGCCAAGCCCCCAGGTCGAATTGCACTTGCAGATTGAGGTTCGAAGGTATAACCAACATCAGTTAAAATTCGTCCTCAATGGAACACGTTGTCTTTTCCATGGCGCACAATGCACAATGTCGCCTTTCAGGGGGTCTCTCCTGCCCACGGAGGGATCCATATTATGCCCTTTGCTGACATGTTGCCGGTCACCATGTCCAAAATATGTTCGGACCACAGGAAGAATCCTGCTCTCTAACAGTAGCAAGTGTTTTGTTCTTTTTTCCTTCAGCGAAGTGGTCAAACGAGTCAAACGATCACATAGCACATGTTTCTGCCGTGTGAGCATTGGTCACATTGGTCACATTGGTCACCTCAGGCTGAACATTGATCCAGGAATCAGCCGTGTAGCCCTACTGTCTCCATTTGTCTTCTCAATTTGCTACAGAATGTTCAGTATATGTGTTGCTTCGCTAGCGTCCCTCAAAAATTCAGCAGCAAGCTTTTTAAGCGTTTTTTTCTTTCAGCGAAGGTGTCAAATGGTCACACGGCACATGTTTCTACCGTGTGCCAGAGCATTGTTCACATTGGTCACCTGAAGCTGAACATTCATCAAATATTTCAAGTGTAGCAGAGGGGACACGAACGTTCCTGATGGATAGATTCCTGGGCATGGAATGGCAAGGGTGGTATCTAGGAACCAGGTTCCCAGCAATCTGTCGGAAATCGCCAGGATTCAGACTGCCTGCCGGTCGCATTGGGTATCAATGTGTCCTAAAACTATCCACCACAACGGTCCATCACACGCAACCACAGATGTCATTTTAGACATGGCGTGTCTTTCCAAAAATACGGGCTCTTACCTCGAAAAGGAAGAACACAAAAAGAGATCACAACTCACAAAATATCAGCAAAGACAACAAACAAAGCAAGTAACAGCGTTGAAGAAGACTCAAGACTGCCACTTAATTAATGTGTAAAAAAGAAACAAAAGAGCAACCAATAACAATATGAACAGAAAATGGTGATGATTGATGCTTTTGTTCAGCTAGACTCATAGGCATGTGTGCTTTTCCATCCTTCCCCAAGCTGTGTCTAATCACGCGTTTGGGGTCTCTATGCATCTCATATGTCCAACCGGAGACTGTTCCGTGCTCAGGAATGCAGAGACTTTGGAGGTCATGATATCCGGACCATATCCAAAAGATGTCGAAAAAAGGTTTGGAAAGCTGGGGTGCAAAGCCCACTTTCCCATTTCTTCTCACCTTAGCAGGCCACACGGCAAAGGTTTCTGCCATAGACTGCGGGAGCAACACTCACCTTAGGCTGCGGGAAGACAAAGCCGGAAATGAGACAAACCTCAACGTTTGTGGAATCTATCAGTGAAATGGTGGCAACAACTCTGTATGTGTGTGTGTGTGTGACTCCTTGCACAGTAACTTGGAGGTAGGACCAGCAACATTCTTGACAGGTTTGGTCTTCCAAATCTTGACATTCCACGAAATCCAAATGCCATGTCAAGTGCACGTTCTTCCTGGGCCAGGTTCCAGGCTGGAGCGACTCGCGACGGAATCCAAGGGCCTGCGGCCACAGATGGCAACTTCTTGCAGCCTTGGGGTGTCTTCCCGGCTACCGTTCAGTCAGTGTCCGAGGCTCTTCACTTGCCATATCGACGGTCATTGGAAGCATTGCAACATCGGCATGCTAAACATGTTCAGCTGAAAACCTATATTGCGCTCGACACCATTCACAGCGGAGCTTCCCTGGATTATTTCTATGAACATACAACATCATCGTTGGCACTATTCACACTGCTCACATGCATGCCCCTCACCCTGGTGCACTCCTCTACTCCTAGCCTCCACAGCACGGAGGAACCATCGATGCTCTGCCGCATCGCACAGGGAGAGCCAGCACCGACGGCGGCGGTGGCGGCATCGTCGGGGTGGTCAGAGGTGGTGCCCGCAGGGCCTTCGCCACCATAGCTGCCACGCCGGGAGGCACCGTCGCCAGCTCGGGCATCTGGGCGATCAGCCCTGGCAGTGCGGGAGGCAGGTGAAACGCGCAATCCGGCAGGGGACGCGGTGCGAGGCTTCCGGGCAGCTTCGCAGTGAACCACTGCGGGCCAAAGCTCGGCAATGGGCTCATTGAGCCTTTCAAATCTTGGCCTGGCCAGGCGAAGAAGTCATGGAACATCATGGAATCATGGAATATGTTGTAATATGTTGTAATATGATATCTATATATATATCATTTAATATGATAAATATGATATATATATATAATTTAAATTCATTTAATAGTATACCTTCATGGTTTAAACATTGTCCAATCAAATGTCTGTTCTGCTGACAGGAGGATCTGGAGTTCCAAGGGTATTCAACAATAGGTAGCGCAAATCACTGGGGTGTTTGGCAAACTGGTGGCATGCCTTTGGTTTGAAGAAAAACCCTGCTTCTTGCACATTGATTCTGATTCTGGGGACCTCAAATTTCAGGCCTGGTTTCAAGCATTTTGCTGAGACGCTGTCACCGCTGTAGCCATTACATGCCATAATTGTATGACATAATGTCGTTTGAAGAATCTTGAGGCCCGCGAAACTTGTTCAATGAGAAGGTGAGCATTGTGAATGTGACCTCTTGACGTTGAGCACCCGTCATCACCTGGAAGCATACAATCCTTACTCAGCGGGTGTCCCTGCCAAAAAAAGTTTAAACTTTTTGTAGTTGGGCGTGCCAATTTGGGGTATAGAAAAGGGGGCAGTTTCGTGCGCGAACCCAACGACCAAAAAAGTTTAAAGTGTAGTCACTTGCTGAGTTAGTAATCCATGATATAGTGCGGAGCACATCACTTACGAACCCGTGTTAGAGGGAGTTAAGAGTCACCACATGTCACCCATTTCGGACCTGGCTGGAAGGCGATCTTGTCAATCTGCGGAGTCAGCCCAAAACCTGGATGTTTAGTGACTTTTAGTGAGTCTAGTGATGTTTGATGAGTTCTTGGACAAGCAGCTTGGGCAAGTCACATCGTGTCGCTGCCAAGGGACCGGAACCCCCGGGACCGTTGATAACGGGCACCCAGATGGGCCGTGGAGGCGATTTGCCTGGGGATCACGAGGAGACGCATGGCGGAAGTTGAATCTTGAGATGTGCCCCCGGAAAAACTGGGAAAAAACAAAAGAACTCCACAGAAAGTGTTTCAAGCATTTTCAGGCCATGTTTTTCATATCTTTTCCTGGCATCCTTCAGCTCTTCAAGAAGATCTGGTTTCGGCATGTTTCGGCATTCAATTCTTTCAAAGGAAGAGGCTGAAAAATTGGAACTGTGAAGGTTCCCAAGTCGTGAGTGATGGCCCTCGCTTGTGTTGTTTCATTCAGACCTTCTGCGATTCTGGGAATGAAAGTGGAAACACATCGCTCTCGAGATGGTGATTTAATCGTGGTCAGATCTTCGCAGAAGGTGTGAGTCAGTTTTGTGTTCTGTTTTGCTCTTGTTCTCAGACTGTCATCAAGCGTTGCTTTCTTTTTACAAATGGCTGCCCTGCTCACATCCCAACTGGTCTGAAATATCTATCGTCTATCATCATATGATTATATCTGCAGAAGAACCCTATACAGGATCCATGCTGCCCAGATGCGCAAACAACATAAAAGCAAAAAAAAAACATGTTCAATCTGACTTAGTCTCCCACCTTCCGATGACCTTGACCCCGACCTTGTGCGAGGCGCATCGAGCGGGGTAACGTCGATTCCACCTTCACAGCACGGACAAGGCAAGAGCTACAAACTCTGACGGTGTTAGGAACTGCAAAGGGACGAAAAATCACAATGCTCAGTTTTGATGCATGTCCAATGTCTTGGGGTCTCCTTGAAATGTGTGTATACATGTATAGTATACATGCATGCATGCATGCATGCATGCATGCATCTATGTATCTATGTATGTATGTATGTATGTATGTATGTATGTATGTATGTATGTATGTATGTATGTATGTATGTATGTATGTATGTATGTATTTATGTATCTATGTATGTTTGTATGTATGTATCTATCTATCTATCTATCTATCTATCTATCTATGTATCTATGTATCTATGTATCTATATATCTATGTATCTATGTATGTATACATACATGCATGCATGCATGCATGTATGTATGTATGTGCGGATGTTTCTATGTTTCTTTCTTTCTTTATTTCTTTCTTTCTTTGTGTCTTTCTTTCTTTGTTTCTTTCTTTCTTTGTTTCTTTCTTTGTTTCTTTCTTTGTTTCTTTCTTTGATTATTTCTTTGTTTCTTTCTTTGTTTCTTTCTTTGTTTCTTTCTTCTTTGATTCTTTTTTTCTTTCTTTCTTTCTTTCTTTTATTCTTTTTTTGATTATTTCTTTGTTTCTTTCTTTGTTTCTTTCTTTGTTTCTTTCTTTTTTCTTTGATTATTTTTTCTTTGTTTCTTTGTTTCTTTGTTTGTTTGATTGTTTGTGTGAATGTTTATATGTTTATATGTTTGTATGGTCGTATGTGTGTATGTTTGTATGTATGTATGTATCTATCTATCTATCTATCTACCTACCTACCTACCTACCTATCACTATCTATCTACTTATCTATCTATCTATCCATCCAACCATTTATCCATCTATCCATCAATCCATCTATCCATCTATCCATCTATCCATCTACCTATCTATCTATCTATCTATCTATCTATCTATCTATCTATCGATCCTTCTACCTACCTATCTATCTATCTATCTATCTATCTATCCATCCAACCATCCATCCATCTATCTATCTATCTATCCAGCTATCTATCTATCTATGTATCAAATTGTATCGATCTATCCATGTATCTTTGCGTCTATGTATGTATCTATGTATCTATGTGTCTTTGTATCTATCTGTGCATCTATGCATCTTGTATCTTTGTATCTACGCATCTACGTATCTATGTATCTATGTATCTACATATCTATGTATCTATGTATCTATGTATCTATACATATGTATGTATAATGTGTATATATATATATGTATTGAAGTGTGTATATAAATATGTACATAGTATCCACTCTCCGGCTACCAGACCTTTACGTTGCTTGTATTATATACAAGAACTGTGGTCTGGATGTTTCAATGCTACCACTGAAAAACTAACCTTTAACCCCCACGCATGTCCTTCTAAACAAAATCCATGAGCAGCCAGCAAATCAACGCTGCCAAGAGGAACCATTTGTCTAGCCGACTCTTAAAGGCAAGATCTTTTGTACGTGCCGGTGTTCAGTGATTTTCCTGGAGATAGGGTCACAGTGTGGGCACGGTATCTGTGAAACATTCTGCGTATAGATGAATACAATTGTTTGAATGAAGCTGAAACAATCCTAAAATCATGAATAAAACCATCCTTGCTGGCTTCACGACAACCAAACAGTCTATATCGGACATCATAACACTGCATTCTGTCTGACTCTGTCGCCCACCTGTGCCACTTGACTTGCGAGGGATGTCAAAAGGGCTCATGTCGATTCCACCTTCCACGGCCCCCAGGACAACTGCTCACTATGGCCAACTGAAGGAGCAAGAACTTGCTTAAAAGGCAGACCAGAAGCCATGCGGAACCCTTTAAGGTTTTTGCATGTTTATGATGTTTCACGTGAACATGCCTCTTGTTCCTGCGAATTCTCGGAAACGATGTCACTTGGATTTGTGTGTTGCAGCTGACAGCAACGACTTTCTGATGTGAAGGCCAAAACTCTGCAAGGCAGGAGACCTGCGTCCATCGCTTTGGATTTGACGTATTGGCCTCGGGAACAGCAACGCTCGTGTGAATGGAGCGATGAGAACCGTGTGAATTAAGACTCGCATGGCCTACCTGAGGGATTGGACCATGGATGATAGCCCGCTACGGCAAGAACTCTTACCTCGTGCCATTCAACCAGATTTTGTGGTGTCAATTCATATTAGATCACTTTCATCCAACACATACTGCATTCTTCAACTTCCCGAAAGCTTGCAATTCAGTGCTAGCAGTCGATGCAGTCAAATGCACGTGAAGTGGGTCAAATAGAAAGTGTAAAGTGTACGCGCCCTTTGCCCAAATGATTCAAATGGGAGAAGGAAAGTTCAAATAGAGCTGTAGAAAAGAACGTCCACAAACGTGTCCTTTGCCCCAATTAGCCAAGGCAATTTCAAAGAGAGCGGTAAAGTATCTGCACCAATGCTTTTGCACAAAGAAAGTTGCTTCTGCGGTGATGTTTTTTGCGAAGACGCCTACTTCCCAGCCACATTGCAGAAGCTACAGAGCAATACAAAATGCACACATCTCTTGGTATGCAACCCATTGCTTGATCCGGCTTCCCAAAAGCTTCGAATTCAACAACCACGTGCACTCATCCGCGAGCCGAGTGACGTGGAGAGACTGGTTCTGGAAACTCCCGCAGCTCGGGCAGTGGATGAGTTTCAACCTGAGCTTCGGATGCGTTTTGGTCATGGTCTTGAGCATAAACCCGCCATTTTCTCTATGAAAAGGTTAATTCCTTCGTCTTGCCACAGTGCCATCAAAAAGAATCATAGAATCCGAGCTGCAGGTTTTATCCCAGTGACTCAATCCCAACAAGATGATTCCAGGATTCTATTGACGAAACCTTACACCCAATTGCTTCCTACATAACAAAAGCACCGCAGAGCCTCTGGAGGAGGGAGCTTCACACTCACCGTCACCCTGATCCAACACAATCAGTTCATATCAAATCATTTCAGCACTCTGAATGTCATCTGGAAACACAGGAACACAAAGAAACAGCAAGGAACATCTGGACACAAAATGTTTCAGAATGTTTCAGAGCCTCGCTCTGTGGACCCACTCTGACAGCAACTGTCACAACCAAAAGCTGTTCATCCGTAAGGAGCCCACGTGCCCCCGTACTCCAAAGGGCCGCGTGTCAGTTCATACTCTGCCGGCTGATTCACTTTGGGATCCGCCAACTGCACAGTCGCCCTGGCGTTCACGCTGCCACTCCCCAGGTAGCCATCATCATCATCACCATCTTCAACTTCATCATCTTCATCACCATCATCAATCATTCTTGAAATTCCACTGTTTTGAACAGAGCTCCTCCAAGTCTACAACACGTCACCGATTCAAGGATCGGAAATGGAAGGCTTCCCATCAAGACTACAATGGAAAAAGGATCCCGGATTCTGGATCCTCTCTGTTTGTGACTATTTATCAGCTGATTGGAAATCAAATTCATCACCACTCAACAGCTACTTTTTGAAGGCTAACGATTGAGCACAGTGGCCCTCAGCCTTCCGACCCACTCGTCTTCCAGCTCCATCTGCAGCGGAACTTGGACCTCAAATATTTCCACGTGCAAGAGCTGTTGCCTCAAGCACAACATACTCCCCAATGTGACAAGAGCAAGCAAGTGCATGGATCGCCATCATTTTGGCGAAAAAAAATTGCCAGATATTCTCAAGCCTTCTGTGTTGCAGTGATTCTTGTCTAGTTTTCCAACCGCCAGAAACACCTTGGGTTGTAGGGCACGCGAATTGTCTCAAAAAAAAAACAGTCCTGCGAGCAGTAGGCATCGCGGCCGCGGGAATTTGAGAAGTGAAAGAACGTCTTCGAGTGTGGACTTCCGTACATGTTGATTGTTGATTGTCCATCAAGTTTGGAAACAGAGCACCTTGAAATGTTCCAATGCCCAAATGTGCAGGATCATGACAGCTGAGAAGAGATTGCAACTCTTCTGGGTGACTGACTCCATTTTCTGTACCCCTGTAAGACTTTAAGAGGAATTCCTGTCGAAACCAGGCAAGATGCCACCCGTGAACTCAGTGCTCTCCTCCCGGCGCGAGCCCGGTGCGCTCTTCTTCGCAGGAACCATCTTTGTTTTCCTCGCATTGATGACTTCGTCTGATTCTCCTGGCATCATGGGCTTGATTCAATCACTTGGATCTGGGCAACCATCAGCCATCAGCAACCAAAAAGAAATATATACCTGATTGTGTGATTGTTTAGTTGGAATATTCTATCATATTTTTTGGTCATATTCCATCATGTTCTATCAACTCCTTGCATATTGCAGAAAAAAATGCGACTTTTTTCCTATGCAAACTATTGTTCTTTTTCCTCAACCCCGTGGCCTGGATAGTAGGCGCTCACCTTACCAAGAGACGCAACTTTTGCATGGGAAGCGTAGCTGGTGTCATGGTTTTCCCTGGGGGGTTCTTGACATTTCACGGGTTTCCTGAAATTGAGCCCTTCTAGGATGATCTGCTGAATCTGTGATCAGTCTGGACTTTCCAAATGGAGAAAATGCGGCACTGAACTCCTGAAGCCTTTGAGGTTTTGACGCAGAAAGGGTGCAAACTGAAGTTATCCTTGGAGACAGGTCTGAGTCGGTCTGAGGGTTTTATGTGCTAGGCGTGGGGCATCTCTCCACGATGGGTGGCAAACGTGAAATTGATCTTTAACATAAATATCTAATACTCTATATTTATCAACTATATTAAATATATATATATATATATATGTGTGCATATATATATATATATAAGCATGCATATGTGTATATATATATGCATATATGCACATGTATATAAATATATATTTACATATTTACATATTTACATATTTACATATACATATATTATGTAAACACATATATATATTATGTAAACACATATATATATATATTATGTAAACACATATATATATATATTATGTAAACACATATATATATATACATATATATTATGTAAACACATATATATATATGTTACTTTGGCGCTGGTAGGCATTAACAGCAATCATTGACTACCAGAGTGTTGCTTTCGTTGTGACACTGTGACATCCATGGGCGTAACATCAACAGTTTGCTTGTTGTGGCACTCCTTCATTCTTGAAAGAAAGGATAGTGCAGAAACACTGGGTTTCCTTGATTCACTCCTTTCTAAAAGCATCCAGGTGTTTCTTGGCAAAAAAGTCCAAGTCTTGCATTCCCTGATGTTTTCCAACCTGGGTGAGACCCATGTACCAAGGGCAGAACCATGCCAAGAATCTCATTCGCCTGGGCGGTAATCACTCAAAGCCACCAAATCAAGAACGTCTGCGGTGAATTCCCTAAGGCAGTTTCTTCCCCATGTCTGGTGACATCATTCTCTCTAAATCTTGAGCAACAAAAGAGTGCACAGTCGGCGTTGGGGCAATCGGGCAATCACCTTATCAATGCGAACTTCGATGTACTTTTTGTCTCTCCTGGAATCTCGCAAAGTGCCTGGCATCAATGGGTTGCCGAAACCATGCTACCAGCATTGCGGGACTGCTGGGAAGGCCAGCTCTCCATCTGTCTGCACTTTTCACCTCTGGCTACTGTCCTGTTTCCTTATCTCAATCCTTTTCAATGTTCAAACCTGTCCAATCCTTTTCATTTGTTTCAGTTCAAGTTGCAGATATTCTACATGTTCCATCTTTCCCATAAGATACTCATGTCTGCAATTCAATTGCGCTCATCACGACGGAAACTCTCACACCCCACAACCCGCCTCCGCCTTTGTAGCCCTCTGGCGAGGAATTGGATGAAGCGTCTCCTGTCACAAAGGCCATGCCACAGGAGTCATGGCTGGCACCCCACGATCCCGCGTCATATCCCTAAACGGGGGCAGGCCAAATTTCGTTGGCAGCATCTTGCGAGAATTTCATGGCTTGAAGATACACTGTCGAGATTTGTAGTGGGCAGTTGCTGTGATAATCAACCAAAGATATTTGGACTCCATCGTTTCCACTGACTTTCCCATTGTCTCAGGTAAGAATGAACTGCCAGGAATTCGCTGTCCACGACGCCTGGGAACTTGATTCCAAAAGGATTCCTGAGATGCCAAGTGGCACTGGAAGAACCCACAACGAGGTGGCAATCTATCCCACCAAACAGAAACGGAACAATGTCGATATACCCGAAACACAACAGATCGATGCAAACGATATAAATTACATTGAACTACTCTGTTTCAGATTCAGAAGGTTTGTCCTCCCAAAAATTGCTGCCGAGTTTCTCCCCTGTCTTCGGAAAGTGATACGCCTCCACATGTGTAGCTCTGTACAGCCTGGCGCAGATTCAGCCGTGGATCTGTTCTAGAACAAAAATGGTGGGACCTCGCAACGGTAATGGCAGAATCCAAAGTCAATCACTCAATTTGGTTTTGCATATCAAACATATCAGACTAAAGTGACTAAAGGTCGCAATCATAATCCCAGCGTTTCAAGTTTTTGGATCCTACGTCAAGGACATGCAACGACTTCAAATCTGAGGACCCAGCCCTGACTGCACTGGAGCCATCCAGCACTGGTTTGTGAGGGTTTGCAAAGAGAGCAGACTACAAGTCAAGTTTGACACAGCTGCGGAATGTGCAACATGTGTCAAAACAATGCATCTCCACACCTGGAGTCCCCTGCAACCCTTCGTTTCAAGATGTTCAATCAACATACCATAGTGGATCAAACATAGACACGGCGACATCTCATGGCAAAATCCCTGCAACTGGCCAGATCTTCACCAAACAAGACTCAACTGACACTGCCACCATTGCTCTGTTGTTTATCTCTGTAGTGTTGAAAACCCCATGATCTAGTTGTTTTGCATCAAACTTTGATTTTTTTGAACATGTCGCAAAGCTGCTGGGAAGTCCAGTTGTTTGCGTCCTCGGTTGGACTCACATTGTGAAGGAGTTGGACAACCTCGTGTCTCAATTCAATCTCGAGAAACATATTCGACGTATTTCATCAGTTTGACTCTCCCGTGGGTCCACATCATTCACATCCAATCTATTGGGTGTATGTGAACATAAAGTCATGCGAAGCACAACGGGCAATCCTTTTTGAGTCGCGGGGCCTAAGTATGGAGGATAGATTCACATTACATGTCCATGTATTTGAACCCTCAGAAACCGGCTGAACCCAAGACACCACGAAACCCTCATGCAAACTAAACTACTGACGTGTGTATACATTTTTTATGTATATATACAAATATATTTCAAAACGTCATACGTCACGCGGAAAAGTTTCGTCAAAAACTTTGCGTCTGAATTCTCGGTTCGCCGAAAATCTGAAATGTGAAAAACTCAGTTCAACAAATGTGCAAACAAAACGGCGCACGGCGAGCTGTCTTTTTGAACCTGGGCCTCAACAGTCATACACAAGTTTGTGCATGCCACTAATGTCCATGTGATTTCACATGTCCTACAATGATTGTCGTTGTAAATTCCCATGAGTTCACACTTCTCGATTTGTGCTGAGTGTCATCCTTGTGCAGTGGTCATGCAGGGCAAATGGAACTGAGAAGCACTGACCTAAAAGTTTTGCACTCCTCCTTGGATTGGCAAGTTTCAACTGCCGAATCCACTCTTCCAAAATGATTTCTTTCACCACCGCTGCACATGACACCTTTGTCCATGCAAAAGAAATCGAATCTCTCTGTCATCCAGCAAATGCGTTTTCCCTCAATTGATTGGCATAGCCCTGAAAACGTTCTGCAATCAGAGCTTCATTGCTCACTCTTTGGCGATCAGCAGCTACATGCTCCAATCGATCTCCAAGTTGTTGGTATAACCTAATTCTTGCCGCTCGCTCCAGGGGCTGTCCAGTGTTAAGACTGTCCAGGACCATCATGATACACCTTTGAATCTCAGCTGCTTCTTCCCAATTCTCTCTGGCAAGAAAAGAATTCAGCTCTTGTCGAAGTGTCTCATGAACCTGTGTCAACTCACCAGGCGTTTCGAAAACGGGCACTGCTGGGTCGAAGGTTGGTGCTTCTGATTCTGCACCTTCACCCCTTGCCTGAGATGACCTGGCGGCATCATCGGCCATATCAGTATCATCTCCATATGCCACGCCTCGACTCTGTTGCATCACAGTTGACATGTATCTGTTCGCCCCCATAGTGCGAGCTGCTACCAAGTTTGCTCTCTCGATTGTGAACATGTGTTGTCTTTGATCTGGTGTCAATTCTGAATGAATCGTATATCCTCCGAGCATTACCAGGCCGTAATGTAATGAATCGGCTTGGTCAGACAGAATGTCATCCTGGCTCTCCAATAGTTTCTGGCCTCTTTGCAGCTCGGCGATTTGATTCTCCATTTCATTGACTTCACCTCTCAGCGTCTTGTTCTCATTGCAACAATGCATGTGCATGTGAACAGTTAGGTAACCATTTTAAGTTTGTAGGAATCGATCTGTGAACTATAGAACCCATAGGAACCTATAGGAACCAGGTAGGAACCAATTCGGAACCAAATGGAACCAGTTTGTGCATGGAAGAGCTTGGAGATGAATTTTCGTTTGTTTTTGTGGTTTTTGGTGTTTTTGGATGTTGTTTGACCCATGTCTTAGGAACTTGATGTTGTGAACTTATTTGGTAGGAGTTTTGTAGGTTATTTGTGAGTTTGAGCTGAAGACGTTTTGTTTGGAGAAGCTGGAAGAACGTTTTTGAAGCTTGAGAACTCTTTTGAAGTAGTTTGAGAAGTTTGAGAACGTTTGAGTGTCACTGCGTTTTACTCTGCACGACTCTTCTAAGAAGAAGAGTGACTGAGCTGTCAAACCTGTGTGGCTTGGCTCAAGTCCGAGCTGTGAAAAAGAGCTGCCATGCCGCTCTCGTGTTTTCACACCATTTGGCTATTGTTTTCAATCTCTGGATCTTGGTGGAACGTCCCTCTTCGAATGCCGCTGATGCGTTGCCAGTACTTGAGCCATACCAATCATGCCAATCATGTCCAAAGGGGACTATGATTGTGCGGGATTTAGATCTTCTGAGTCCAACTGTAATGCGGTCCAGGCAGTCCTCTCGGAGTGTTTTGGAAAAGGTCTTTTTGGTGGCTGAGCGATTGAGGGAGTTCTTATAATTAGTTGCTGTTGTCTAGCAGTCCATCTGAGTCACAGGTGTTGATGGAGAAACTTTGCAGGACATGCGAGCACAGTGTGTTCATGTCTGTAGCTATCAATCCATTTAGCTTTGCATTGGTATCCCATAGAACGAATTGACAACCAGGAGGTCTGGCGGGGCACCTCCTGACGCAAAGCTACCTAGAACCCATTGACTGTTAATGTTCCGACAAAGACTGGGGTGTCGCACAGCGACAACCGAGTGATACGTCACTGGGCTGACTCGAGAGCCCATGCATGAATGTCACTGACTCCGGCAGTAGGCAATTGCGTTCTGCTTGGATTTCCTGGGGTCAATCAGCCTCGGGAACTGTGCCGCCTCCACGTATGTTGCAGCTCTGAGGTCTTCGAGACCAGGAAGCACTGCATTGATGGCATCGAGATCATTGGAGGGTCCCAAATCATCTGCTTTCATTGGTGATTCTGATGAAGTTTTTCTGTTTGTTTTTTTGATTTGCCGAGAGATTGTGGAACCAAGGTGTTTCATAATGTTTTTAATTTGTCTACCCGCTTCTCTCAATGTTAGGACCGAGCCTCAGAGCGAAATCGGCCGCAACAGAGGAAAAAAACAATTGGTGATTCTGATGAAGTTAATTGAGTGGTATTTTGCTTGACTCAGGAGCCGATGCTGCAGTGTTTCCAGGATTTGCAAGTTGCGGAGAGGATTGCAATGAGTTTTCAACACGTTTGCATGATGCTCAGGGCCAAGTTATTCCCATTCAGACGATGCGTGATGTGGAGATCAGATTGTTGGATGGATCAGGGAAGCTTGATGGTCCTCAAGGAGCGAGTTGCAGTCTCACCGCATGTGACTCAACCAATTCTTTGTTTTGGCCGTTTGCTGCAGTCAGGATGGAGTATGGATTCTAGTTTTGGCCCATGAAGATGGAGTGAAAGTGCCAATAGAATTTCAAAACATGAGTGTCACAGTCAAGAGCTGGGTTCGAGCTATCAATTCGGGTGGTGATGTTTCAGTTTCTCAGCCAACAAGCCTTGCTGTTCGAGCAGTTCGTGCCAATGTTTTTCCTGATCTGCGTTTAGGACCATCAGGGTGGAATCTTGATGACAAAGGTTGTGGAGTTGGAAGACACCACTCAGACCACTTCCAGGATCCAACCTTGTTCAAACCTCAGATGGAAGGCAATTTGTATCGTACTACTTTGCTGCGAGACAGAGGGGAATGGTATGTTCTTGAACTTTGCGAAAGACTTGACAGTCTGATTGCGCTAGGAGCTGAAATCTATGGATTCGGGGGCCCATGTGACCTTTTGACTGTGATCACAGACTCAGAACAAGATCCATTGGTGATGGGTTTTACGCTTGTAGGAGATGAACATCCTCTTTTTCCTGAAGCTGACAGGCAACAGCCAGCCGAGGTTGCAAATGCACCAGAAGATGAGGTGATTGGACTTGAGATTGAGGATGGAGTTGAAGGCTCAGGAGGAGCTGATGTGCCACTGGAGGAACGAATTTTGTTTCAGCCAGCGCCTACCGACATGGTCACGGTCAATGGTGTTGAGCTTACTCCAGAGAGTTCTTTGAAAGCGTTGAAAGCTGGATGCACTTATCACAGCTTGAGCACATCAGGTTCCAAGGTCAAATGCTTCACACGACTTCTCAATCATCAGAAACAGCAAGAACTTGAAGTCATTCACTCTGCAGTTGAACATTCCATGAAGGAGTTGTCAAGGGTTCCAAAGGCCATGGACTTGAAAGTCCCACCTTCAGAGGCCGAGATTCAGCAGCACAATCTCACTCACTTGCCATACGCACCATGGTGTAGCAGTTGTGTTTGTTTCAGAGCGAGAGCAGACAAACAGTTGAAGTCAGATGGTGCGAGGAGAGCATGCAGGTGTTGCCACAATCAGTTTTGATTTTTGCTACACGAAAGCAGTCCCAGATTCAATGGCTGAAAAGGATGTCGACACTATGATCAGTTTGGTGATGATCGACAGCGCCACTGGGTATTTGCATTCAGTGCCACTTCGAAGCAAGAATCAATGGAATCTCATGGTTAGAGAGCTGCTAGGATTTGCTGGAAATCTTGGACACTCAGAGATTGTCTTTTACTGCGACAATGAACCAACCTTGAGACAACTTTTGCGCATGGTTGTGAATGCACGTCTGTCAATGGGGCTTCCAACACGCTACAACACGTCAGCGCCTTACTCTCACAGCAATGCACTGGTGGAAAATGCAGTTGGAAGAATCAGACCATTGGCTGGAACATTGATGCATTTTCTTTCAGAACAAGTAGGTGTTGAGTTTTCGAGCAATTCACCTTGGTGGAGTTGGGCATTCAGACATGCCAGTTTCTTGCTGAACCGCTTCACACCAACAAGGGGCGCTACACCTTACGAGATCTTGTATCAGAAGGAGTATGGAGGTGCAATTTGCAATTTTTGGAGAGCCTGTTTTTGGTTTTGCAAAAGTGACTGGAAAGG